GACAGGCAGACAAAATACAAAAAAAGATTATGATATTTACATTTCAGTATGAAGTGATCCTGGACCTTCATCACTCCTGACAGAACAGAGGACGTCTCAATTTGACAGGAGCTTTGATTTATAAAAAAGCTTGGACAGAACGACCTTGTCTGACACTGATGCTAAAAAAAACAACAACAAAAAAAAAAAAGTTAATCTGTTGTTGTCAGCGAGGACCATTCTACAGCGAGGAGGGAAAACCCTTCCAAGGGTTATGTAACTCGACTCATTACCATAGCGATAGACTAGAATAGTGGTGCAACACCCCTCATCCCTGACACTCTGCAGTACAAAACCCTTTACACCTTTAGGACAGAAATGTGCTGCTTTTTCATACATCAAGAGCTTTCAGGCTCAGGATAAAGGATGAAAAATTTCTCTACAATAGCTACATGTACACAAAAGGATCGAATTTGCAGCGCATGCAAGAAATCTCTATATATTCCTACAAGGCACATATTTGATGCATTGCTTTGTCTGGCTGGCTCAAGTTTCTCCTCTCTTCAATCCCTGCAGCCTGTGTCAGCTTCTAGCTCCGGTTACATACAGAGTGCTGTCTGTGTGGTGAAGAGTGGACGAAGAGGAGCTGCTGAAAAAGAGAGCAGGGAATAGAAATACGCAGTGTGTGTATGATTCAGAGTGTGTAATCGACTGCCAGTAGTGAATGAACTACTTTCATTATTCATCCACTTTCTGAGGGGATGCCCTTGAACAGTGCTCTTCACCGTCTTCCCCATTTCACGAATTCACAATGAACTCTAAGAATTCACGTTCAGCTTCATCTGCATTACAAGAACAAAACCACCTGCATATGGCAAACTAACAGTCTTCTCTCTGCTGCCAGCTTTGACGCACTCATTCAGCATTCGGGAACATCCACATCACCTGCCTACAAGATGACGCACAGGACCCCAAGAGAGGAAATAGAGGGAGGCAGGAGGAGGCACCACTTCAAGTTGAACTGAGTCAAACTCGTAGGTGGGAGACCGAAGCTAATGGATCACAGTGACGAGAGGGGGAGTCAATGTTCTTTGCTAAGGATACAAATTGGTGTTGGCGCTGAGAGGCAGAATCGAGCCTAGCGCAAGGACACCCAGTTGCCATGGTAGCCACATCCGCCGTGGCCTCGAAGATAGCCATCAGACAAAGCTCGTCAGCTGTTGCGTCATCCTGAGCTTCGTCAGCTGACACAATTAAAATCCAGACTCCACCTGACACGAGTTCCCACCAAAGAGTTTGCACAAAACACATTCACACGCAGTCTCACTCTTTTTCTGTGCAACAGCAAGAGGGAGGTTTGTTTAAGGGTTTGAATGACAGCTTAAATGCCTGTTTCTGTATGGCTGTAATGAGCATGTTTCCTCCTCTTACCATGTGAATAAACACACACACAAGCAAATGTGTATGAGCCAATGTGTTGCAGAATGCTTTAGATCGTCAAGTAATGATTATTTTCAGATTAATCAATCATGTGATCTCTGACCTCAGAAAACAGTGACAAAAAACTCAAGGTAATGCCTTCAAATAGCTTGTTTTGTCTGACCAGCAGTGCATAACATAAACCCAAACATATTCAGTTTGCTATCACATAAATTAGAAAATCTTCACAATTAAAATGCTGACTAATTAATATTTGCAATAAATGTTTTAAAACAATTTATTGATTAACAAAATTGTTGCAGATTTATTTTTGGTCAATTAATCAACTAATTGTTTCTGCTCTAATCTCCATGACTTAAACGTCCTTATCAGTGTCACTATAATACCAATAATGTCAATGTTTTTGAAGGACAAAAACAGTGTTTCATATGTATTCCACGGTTTAGACATTCATCACAAAGATTTAAGGCCCCAAATGGTCCATCCCTAAAACAGGAGCTCTTCATCAGGGATGATTGAACTGCCATAAAGGTAGACATCTGTCATATTCACCAGCTGAATTACCCCTATCATCCCATTCGTCATATCATTACAGGAGTAGATGAGGACGGACATAAAAAGTGGAAGGAGATTAAAATGACAGCAAATGTCAGCTGACACTGACTGATGAGACGTTATTCCTTCTTGGCTCAAACAGTTTAAGCCACTCTGTCTTTGCATTACAGACTTGTCTGTCCATTGAAGGTGAACCATATGACAAAAAATATGCCAAATTTTGCTTTTCATCTCAGCCTGAGACACAGACAGTGGTGCTGGGCTCATTTGCTTAAAATACAGGATAAAAGTAAGTGCTGAGTGCCTAAAAATAAAACAGCTCAGGCTGGATATTCTGCGCACAAGCAGCATGTGTATTAATAAGACAAGAGCAAGATACATACACCTCTAAATAGCACAGCTCTCAAATGTTTGGTCAAGGAGTTTGCGCCTTCCGCTGATGTCATCCCCCTGTGACGGTCATCCGGCCTGAACGGGGGCCGAAGCCTCAGCCATTCAGCATTCAAACACGCAACGTCATGTGAAATTTGATTAGGCTGCAGAAAACACAGTAGCATCTATTGAGAAGCCAACAAGAGCAGATTGTCTCACTGTAGGCATGCACTAATTACACAAACAGAAAGAGATACTGTATGACCTCAGAGAAACACTTATAAGGCTAAGGCACGTGAGGGAATAAACATCTCTTGCTTGACTGCAGCTCATGGCATATGCGTCCAAAGATTAACACATTCACACACAGAGACCAAAATCCCTTGAAAGGAGCAGAGCCCTCTGCTGCAGTGGGTCTGAGATGACCTGCTGTTACATAAGCAGATTGGTAAAGCTCAGATATACTAGCCAGCGGCGCTGTCACTCGCCGCAGGGAGCCAGCTATCAAAGTCCTCACTGGTTAGTTACAGCACTAACTAATCTGCAGCAGAGCTATGAGCTGCAACATGATACAGAGCTTGTCCTAAATTTACATTTTTCTCCGAGTTGATGCTGTTATTCAACAGTAGAGGAAAAAACACAAGCAGGGTTAGGCATGTCTGGTTACTATCTTCCCCCTGAGGAAGTGCTCTACATGAACTACATTGCTGCTACAAAGGAGACAAGGAGAGTACAGGGTGTGACTATTGTTTGTGCTCCACAAATTAAACCTGGAAGTGACATTAAAGTGTTGGTGTTGGTATTGGGGCACACTGGCATGGTTCTGTTTCCTCACAAAGACCCGGGCGCACACATACACACAAAGCAGGACACGTGCAGACGCCACAGAGAGCTCCTGTGTGACTCTGTCCTCACCTCACCGAGCTGAGCGTCAATACTTCAGTGTGGAACAAGGCAACACAACCTGATATCTCCATTTTTAACAACGCTATCCTACCCACCACAAATAAACCGTCACAAGCTCCCTCTCTGCAGCAGTCATCACCGTAGCAACCCTGACATCCATGAGCAATACTGCATCCGTTTCCTTTAACCTCGTTCACAGCCTTTAGCTTTGGTAAGAAAAAGGACACAGGTCTCCTGCCTGGGGCGATGAAAATGATAAGAGAGCTTAACAGAACATCACAGAGATAATCGCTGCTTTTTGACACACGCAGCAGTGTAATCAGAACGCTCGCCCTCACACACAGCCCTGTGTTATCCATGAAGTACTGCCTGGATCTGTGTTCCAGCTTTATTGGGCAAATGGTGATGTTGTCCTCCCTGTGTTCAGCCCTTTCTCTGCTATTTTCCTCATCCAGGTGTAGCACTGGATGACTTGCAGAAACCAGCAAAGCTATATTTTCAGCTGACTTACAATACTGTCCTGAAAATATGATAAAACACAGTGAACAGACTTGCAATGTGTTTTCCCCCAAGCAGAGGCAAAACACAAGGACAAGACTATAGGGTAATACATTTTAAATTAAACTGAAACTGCTTCAAATTCATAGGAAAATGGTCATTCTCTTGGATTTGTGTTTTTGTTTATGGTTCTCCTTTTCACACTCAAAAACATACATTTCATCAGCCCTGTTTGTTCAGAGATACATGTGTAAAATTAAACAAATCCTGCCAAAATCAAACGAAAAAACAAATTCTGATGGAATTTATTTTAAATGAATTATTTTTGTCCAATGTATAGGTTATTCTACATAGGCTACGTGCAGATTTTATGTTGTCAACAAGCCTTTGTGGCGTCCAATCAAAACATATTTAAATTGATGTCACCCCCGCACAAACAGGCCTATATGAACCAGTAAATATCAATGATAAAGCCTGTCATGAAACATATTTTTGGCTGTATTTTCCTGTAGTGTGGGTTTGTTTCTTTCATGTTTTGTTGACCAGTGTACCTGCTCCATCGTCCGGCTCTAGGCCCGTCTCTGCGTCCACTCCACACACAACAAAATAGTGGGCGAAACGGCAAGAAGCCGATCCTGTGGCCGCTGCAGTCCCGCTCATCCTCGACGCGTTTTATGGTGTGAGAGCTCCGTTTACTTCTACTTAACGTTATGGATGTTCATAGCTGATGCGGCTAATCCGAAATGCTGTACCCCCCTCCTCGTCCTTTCCTGATCCGTATGCTGATCGTGTGTGTGTGAGCCCGCCTGCCTGCACACACTGATCCGCGGTCTGACTCTGATGGAGCACAGGATGATCCAGCGATGGTCATCTCGTTTCAGAGTGGGAGGAGGCTGTATGTAGGCCTGGGAGGGAGGGAGAGGAGAGAGAGGGAGACAAAGACCTGAACGCATCATCATCGTCAGCCTCATTTTAAAGGGTGTTGTCGAATTTCATCACCATCACCCACATCAAAATAATCATGCTTTGTCAAAAGAACTTGGTGTTTTTTTCCATTTTATGATAATAAGAAAAATACATCTAACCTGCTAGAAAGTCGTTCAGATGATAGAAACACAAAATAAGACAAAACCAAAAGGCAAGTGTTCAGCCCATCATCTAACCACATTAAGTGAATGTTTCTAGTTGAATATATCTGAGTAAACATGAGAAAGAAAGACGTGGATATCCATCATTATAGGTCATACGGTATTTATTGAACCATTCAAATACACATAACAAACACATTTCTCATTTTATAGGCAAATTGCTGACTAACTTCTTTAAATAAATATGATAATCTAGGTAACAAGTAAATCAACCTCTCACGGTATCTGTTCTGGTAAACGATATTGCCTGAGACATATTTAGGATTTGGGTTAAATAAAGTCAGTGTCCAAACATCAAAAATGTGCAGCATTTCTATACACCTGGACTGGCTCATGCTATAAAATCTTTGCATTAAAAATCATATTCTGAGATCATTTTTCATGCAAATTAGAGGTATGCACTTACACCCATCCCTGTTTCTGTAAATAGTGTTTAACAAGTGAACAGATGTGTCCACAGCTTCAGTCCTCCTCCTCTAAACATGCACATCTGTCACTTACATCCTGTCTTATTACAGTAAGTGCATAACTTAACATAACAAGGCTTGTATTTAACATTCAATCACTGTTGTCATTCAGCAACCATATGCATAACATTTTTTCACAAACAGTTAACATGGCTATTACCACTACTGTTTTGCCCATGGTCAACGACTCCTCCATCTATTTTCAAGCTCTCTGACTGTTGTGGTAGATATAAAACAATAGTAGCAGTCCAGACATCCTTTTTCCCGTGCAACTTCCTCAAGCTCTTCCCTGGAGGATTTGCAGGCCAGTTGAGACAATCAACAACACCAGTACATCCCAGATCAACCCGTCCAGGCAGTTTTGGATGGTGTACCTTCAAAGGCAAAGTTTACCCAGGTGGCCTCCTTAACAATTGTCCTTAACACCTCAACTAGCTCTTTTAAAATGCAGGGAAGGCAGTGTTTCAACTTCAAAATCTTCCAGATACACTGAACCCCTCATCTTATCACAGAATCACAGAAAGTGGTACCAACCGGTCTGAAGGGTAACCTCACTTTGGCTCTTCTAAAATCATGATGCACTTCCTCAAATTAAATACATAGATAAAAGCGCTTGCTTTCAATGGAATAAGATTGATCTTTAAATCTAACATGTAAATAAATCAGCGAGGATTGGAGCTGTCGTACACCCATTCACTGGTGTCTCTGAGGCATGCTGAGGAGTGCAGCGAGAAACCTCTTCAATTCTCTTGATAGGTGTCTCTCTGAACCACAGAAAGGTAGTGTATTGTCTCATGCTGCACAAGTCACATGGACACATTCTCTAGAAAACTTTTGGCAGTGGGTTTGGGTTCAGAAATTTCACCTGGAAAATATCTTCAGAGAAAGTAGGTGAAAGTCCCAGAAGAAAGGGCACTGTGGATATTTGAAGGAAAATAGTCTCTGGCAATGTGATGAAAACTCTTGGTGGCAGGACAAAACATGGAAAGGTGGCCTGTTTTTATAATCTACTGAATGAATGGTTTCTCCCTGCTTCCTGTTTACTCGCTGCTCATCAGTTACTTATAGTGTAAGTGACTGGAAATCAGAGAAAAGTGGCTGATGAGGTGGAACAAATCATTTAGTTTTGTGTGATGATAATATTGATCTGGGGAATACTCTATGTATAGAGATTGAGGGAGTTTAAGCTGAGTATCCACAGGAAGCTACACAGCCTGCTCTTTTATAAGGTTAATGTCAACAGATTTATAATCTAATTTGAAGAGTGATAGGTTGATGGCTTTGGCAAAGTGTGTCGAAGCAAAAGCTATGCATGGATCAAAATTCCAGATAGAGGTCTATGTCAAGATACGAGCCACCTGGGCCTGAATTTCCCCATCAGGATGTGAAAGGAGCTGGACCAGTCTGCTGTGGAGCTGGGAGGATTCATCTAACATGACCCGGAAGAGGCAATCCTGCTTCCGCCTCAGTTCATCAGCTACTTGAGCCGAGGGCCTCCAAGCCTGTAAGTTTCCTGCAAATGTCAGCAGTCGCAGAAGCACCGTAGAGGCTGTTCGTGCGTCAAACAGTAGCACAACAGAAGCTGGAGCCTTGGAAGAAAAAGGACAAGAACAAGATCAAAATAAGGATTTATAATCTGCAGCCCTGTCCCAACAGTTTGACAACAAAAATCATCTTGGATTATGCAGCATTTCTGTTTGTTCTGATGAACTTTTAACACAGCTGTGCTTAATAACTTAGTGTGTACTATATTGCAAACTACACTGGCTGTTTGACTTATATGAAAATGATAAGATAAAGACTGTATTTTCATCCTTTAAGTCTTACCTGAGCTTGAACAATGTCATCCATCATATCTGGATTAGAGGACAAATTCACAAGGACTTTCAAGGCCTGAACCTGAAACAAAAAATAACTTCACATGTGGGGTTGCACTAACAGCTGTAATGCTCTTGACTCATTTCCAACTACACCTACAATTTTCAAATATCTCAGAGAGGTATCAGTGGTATCATATCATATCATATCATATCATATCATGATTTAGGAATTGTTAAAGATAACTTTTATTGCATAGTATTATAGTATTCAACAATCAGTCTTTAAGAAATGTAAAATATATCAACCCCAGGGCAACCTGAAAAGCCTACCAAATACCAACCTGTAATGCTTCATTGCTCACCACAAGTAGAGACAGTAAAAGTGTAATGGATTCTTTCAGCAAGTGTTGATGTTTGTCTGTGACTGAAAGGTTTGTCAGCAGCCTGAGAGCACCAAGCTGAAGGTCAGAATTCACTGGTGACATCTCAATCAGTTCCAGCACTTGCGGCACATAAACCTACAAGACAAGACTTTTAGTGAGACAAGTCTGCCCGCCCCCCAAAAATGGATATGAATATATATATTTTAACAAAAATACTCTCTCAGCAATAGCCTGCATGCTATTTGCTGTACAGAATGGCAACAAACCTTTAGTTGCTCCTGGTTTTGGATGTTCATACACAGATTATTTAAAGCATTCAGCGTCTGCACTCTAACCTCTGCTGCAGGATCAGAGAGGAAACCTGCTATGACAGGAATCCCTTCAAATTCCCGTATTAGATTCTGGAGGATCAGTAATAAAAAAAAGAATTTAGAATAGTGAGATAACTGACAAACAACACAACAACAACGCAACTTTTTAACTAGGTAAGTTACAGTGTTAGAAAGTTGAGATTCTTGATTGGCAATAAAGAAACCAGTACCAACCTCACTTGCAGAAGGTTTTAGAGAAAGCATCTTTTTACTGTACCTGATTCACAGTGAAGGCAGCAGCGTTTCCTAACGTAACCATAATCCGACATCTGTCAGATGAATTATTGCTGGTCTGCAGACATGACAGCAGCATTTTCAGGTGCTGTGGCTCCAGGTTGCCAGGGGACTGGTGGATGATGCCACCTATAGAGCAAAATAAGCGATTAACCTACATCTAATGGTGTTTAATGTGTTTGCAATGAAGGAGACTAAGTACAACCGAGCTGCAGTTACTGTTTTAAGACAAAAGTACTCCATTTGAATTTTGAAATTGTTTACACACAGGAATTCTGAGAAATTATCTTGAGATATTCACTTTGCTAGAACAGTCAGACAAGTTTAGACATAAGCTATTTAGTGTGAGTATTGTCCAGCTGTATGAGCTTTATAGTTCTTACCTGATGCAACATCCGTAGGTCGGGGGCAGACAACATCCAGTCCAGACACTTTAGCCAGCAGGCTTCCCGGCTGCAGGGTCACTTCACTGGGCTGATTGCTCCTGACACTAGGACTTTCACTGGTGGCACTTTTCTTATTTCTTTTGAAGCTTCCTCCGCTGATAAGTTTGTATAACCCATAAGAAGCTCCAGCTCCAGCAACTATTCCAAGCAACGCCTTCATGTTGCCGAGCCTAGGAATGACACTGCCATCGCCCATGCTTCTGCTAATTGTGTAGCTGAGCTCTGCTAGCTAGCTAACGTCAAGCTACAGATGCTCTGTAGCGTTGAGTCAAATCGGTTAACCTACCGGCTAACTAACCCAGCTCATTAGCTCAGTAGTTCGCTAGTACTCACGATAACCAACCGAAACCACTACAAAGCCAAGCCAAACTAATGTAGACAGCTTCATTGTTCAGAAAACTGGAGAAGTTTGCTGACAAGCCACAGTTGTCAACAATATTCTGTTCCGTTGTTCCGGGCGGCTCAGAGTGGCCGACCAAATCTTTCGCTGAGTGACTTGGCTATGTACCAAAGCCTTTAAGCCTGTTAGCCTTTAATTTTGTAACGTGTTTTTGGAATGTGCGTTTTTAAGACATTTGAATAAGCATAACAATTTGTTAGCTAAAACACCATATGCGTCCATCTTCTCAGAGTAGACTTTATTCGCTACATTTAAACTGATTCGTTGTCCAACTCTTAACGGTACTTAAGTTTTACTTGCTTCGTTACTTGGCAACGATGAGTTTCCAAATGGGGGAGCATTATACCAGAGACAGTAGAGTATAGAGGATCTTTGATTATACCAGGCGAAATCTGACAAAACTATCAACGTACACGATAAGTATTTTAACTTGCAGACGTATTTAAGATCAGACATGGCTGTAGCAAACACGGATCCTGTTTTGAAAGAGTGTGAACTGAAACACTGCCTGCCACAGATATATAAGGTAGGTTTAGTAGAAATAACTAGTACAACAACGTTACAGCTAACCATAGCCCTTAGGTCAGCTCTTTAGTTAACACAAATTCACTTTACTTTTTTGATTACTATCACCATTTAAATATAATATATAATTTTCCTTGACAACAGGCACTGTTGACAGCTTCATGCCTGTCATGTCCCAGTGACCCAATACAGTTTCTCAAGAACACTCTGTTGGCCTTCCAGGGACATGATAATCTCCAGGATGTAGACTGGTAGGTAGACCTGTCTTTTCCTGTGACTTTTCTTGAGACGGACACTTGGTGGCTCACTTTCTCAAGTTTTCTTTTACTCCTGGTAGAGAAAGTCATGGTAGGCTACCAAATGTGGAGGTGTGAAGATTAAAAACCGTACTCAATAGCTACATTTAATCTCTGAACCCAAAATTTGTTTCAGTGAGAGGAACAGCATATGTACAAAATACTCGACAAACTAAAGTGGAAAGATTTTTTTTTTTAAATAAATCACGTGTTTCTTGACCTTTACCATGATACTTAGTGATTTTTTTTTTTTTTTTTAAAAAAAAAAATTTTTTTTTTTAAATAAATCACGGGTTTCTTGACCTTTACCATGATACTTACTGATTTTTTTTTTTTTTTAAAAAAAAAAATTTTTTTTTTTAAATAAATCACGGGTTTCTTGACCTTTACCATGATACTTACTGATTTTTTTTTTTTTTTAAAAAAAAAAATTTTTTTTTTTAAATAAATCACGGGTTTCTTGACCTTTACCATGATACTTACTGATTTTTTTTTTTTTTTTTAAAGCAACACCCCCCAGGGATCTTAATTAAGTATCACTGTCCCCAGTACCTAATACCACTGACAATTACAGACAATTCATTTTAGTTTTTGGTACATGAATATTGTCAACTTAAACTTTTGTTTAAAATTGAATTTTTGAAACTCAAGAGTGGTGGTCATTACAGTTCATGTACATTTAAAAGTATTTATTCTTGTGAAATGTAGCAGACAAAATATATCACTTGCTGTACTAGTACCAATATATAACCTTTTACTATTATACATTTACTATTTTCTGTTTTTGACGTCAACTTTATTCCTTTTCGAGGCACAAGTTTGTTGCTGATGTACAACAGCGCAGTGCAACAACCACTTCTATGATCTGTAGAAGTGTAGACAAGGCCTATATGGATCCAGATGAGGACATGGTACAGTATAGTTTAGTAGCATATGCGCCATTGAAATTCAAGTGACAGACAAATTACATAGATTCAAATGAAGCAGTTTTAGTGTATTTATAGTAATTGCTGTTCTGTATTCCTTTCTAGCTGCCCCTTTGTCTCCTAGAGAAGGCCTACAGCTATCACAGGAAAAATTTAACAAGCTGTTGCTTCAGGTAGGCCTACAGTGCTGACTTCAAGACCAACACGATGACTGTTTGATGAATCATTTCTTAAAAAAGGGGGAAGGCAAGTGGCCATGAGACATTAAAGACAGATTTTTATAAGCTGTCACCCTACATGGAATTTCTTAGAAATACCAAAATTGGGATGGATGAGTCAAAACAACTTTTCACCACCTGTTGACCTTACTTGGCATTGTGACAGAAAAAACGGATCAAGAAGCTAAAAACACTGAAATTGTTGAGTAGGTTGAGTAGATTATCCCATTTGACACAATCAAGAGGTAAAAAATATTTATAATATTTAATTCCTTTATGAATTAGATTGGATGTGTGGAGAACACTAGAAACTTGATTTTTCTCCCAGTTGAGGATGGAAACAGATCCTATTAAAAATAGAAAGGAAAGAAATCTTCAACTACAGTTTTCAGGTGTTTGAGAAACAGTCACAATATGAACACTTACCCATATTTGCAAAAGGGAACAGGACTTGCTGACAGTCAGTGATATGACCTACAGTTAGAAAAAAAAAAAAGGAAAATTCACTTAAGTACTGATATCCACAATTGTCATACTAGATACATTTTGCAGTCGTTTACTCTCTAGTTATGTTTTAGAGGCAGTCTTTCGCCATTCTATATCTTAAAAGTAGCTTCTATTTACTGCTGTCTTTGTGTAATGTGTATAATTTTATTCAGGAACCTAATGACATAACAAAGACACATTCCTAAGTTTGAGATGTGAGAAGCTTCACATTTAAATTAATCAGTTTCAATTATAAGCACAGCAGGTATTTTTAAATGCAAAATGTTAAAAGGTTTTGATACCATTTCATCTTTGTGTTGATTCTTCCCCACTGTTCTTCACATCCTTTTACATCGTGGGATAAAGTGGAGCTTTTTGTTTTCCTGGGGCAGGTTTCCATTGGTCTTTAGCAGTGTTACCTTCAACGTGCCGATATGGTGTATAATAGGTCTTTGATAGAGATACTTTGCCCCGTACATAGCCGTTTCTGGACTTTATAACATATGCGTTTACAGATGGTGGTGACATATTGGGGCCCGTTTGAGGAAGAAGCCTTTTCGTGTTGCCACCATTCCTCCAAAAGACACCACTAAGAGCAGAACCAGACACTTTGGATGCTGACAGTGGTTTAGGGGGGTGGAAGGCCATGTTTCCGGGCTCTTTATTCACTTTGGCTGGACGTTTCTGTACTTTGGTTGGTTGTATGAAGGTCTGTAGAAGGCCAGCTCTGGTAGCAAAGACATCATTTAGAGAAATGCCTTGCCTTTGATGGGTAGAAAATGAGCCCAGGGGGTTACTGGCACCATATGTATCACTAGATGGAAACCCATCAGAGATTATATTCTTGATTTCAAAGTTCCTAGACATGACTTCATTGCCAAATAATCTTGAAAAGGCTTTCTTTGGTTCTGAGGTTGGAGCCAAGTTAGTTGGAGAGTTAAAACTTCCACTGACCTGAGAGGAAATCATACTCTGGCTTAAATCTAAGACACTGGAAGTGGGAATGGAAGTACTGTCATTCATTTGTTTTGGCTCCTGAATGGCAGACACTAGATTCTGCTTGGAAAGGTCAGATATCTCCTCATTTTTTGCATGGGTATTGAGGCTGGATGGATGAAAATCACTCTGGTTTCTGAGATAGCCATCATGCCTGCTTGAGTCATGAAGAGCGCTTGAAGGTTTCATAATAAACAATAGGTGGGATCTGACAGGCTGCTTTCCACTAAACACTTGATGCCGAGGGTCATGTGGGCCACTTGCTTCAACACCCACATGGCTGTTAGTAGAACCATGAGATACAGGCAGGTGCATGGTGGGAATGTAGTTTACATCCTTTTTTTCCTTGTCAGTTGGTTGATACCTCTGAACTGATTGGGCTGGTCTTTCCCTGTGTTTGGATAGATTATCTGGCACGTAGAGTTGACCTCTTGGTGCACTGACATATAAACTTTTACCATAGGAGTTCAAAGATGGGGGCTTTTGGGGAGACAGGACATCAGCTTGAGTCACTCTGTGTAGCTCCTCTCTTTGGAAATCGTTACCAAATTCAAAGCCACCTGATGGTTTTTGATACCCTGTAAAAGAGTCTCCACTGTGAGATGAATATGTTGGTTGTTGGATATTCTTCTCAGAGGTTAGAGGTTTTACACTGGATGTCTTACTTAAATAATAGCCAATTTGTTGAGATGGGCTGTTTGGGGGGTTGACAGGGGATGCAGTCACCTGGCTACTGTAAGAAAAATCCCCTCCAAAGAATGAGCCAGAGGTTGTTTGTTCAGGGAGCATGTAGCTTGTTGACTGAACATCTTCATTTTGCACATCAGGAGCACTTGTGAAAATTTCAGGGTTTTCCCCAGGGTTTCCAACATTGGCCAAACTTCCATAATTACTTAAGACATGATCTGTGTCTGCAAAATTATGGCGTGGGTAGAGCGCAGAGACAGGGCCATAGTCTTGATTGTCATAAACACTGGGAGAAATGAGATTTGCGGTGAAGTCGACAGGATCAGGAAAAGAGAGGCTTTCTCTTGGCTTTTCGTAGTTGGTATCTGGTTCACTCTGTTCAAACACTGTATTTGTAGGTTCACGCCAGACTTCATTTTTACTGTTTTCATCATGGGCAGATCCTTCTCTTACAGAATCAGACCTAGTAGAAGACTCTCCGTTAATATTTTGAGCACCAGAAGTCAACTCAATCTTCATTGTTTCCCGTGCAGTTTGAAAATGTCTGCTCAGGTCACTTCCTGGTGTTAAGAAGGAGCTCTTCATAGCTTCAATAAAATGTCTGAAATCTTTGATTGTTGGGAAACTGATGCCCTCCATAATTTTCTTTGGTGTGTGCTCCTTCACTAGAAGGCCAAAGGGATGATAATCAGAACTTGAATATTCATAGGGAGCAGAGGGGACCACTAAAAAGTCTTCTTGCTCCTGTTCCGAGTCTAGTTTGTGTTGCACCATCTCTTCACTAAGGCTGGTAACATCCTCTTTGTTTTCATGATGGACTGGTTCTCTCTGAAGGGAAACAAAACTCTGGTGCCTCATAGCCTGTGTTTTATCCTCATTGTTTGTGTTTAAAAATGCTCCAGAATGAAACTGGTTTGAGGTCTGTGGGTTGTCATTGAGAGAGTAGCCATGTGCAATATTGCAATCTATCAGGGAATGAAAACATGCATTACATTAAATTAATATGATTGAACATAGCAGAGAATAAATTTAAAAAATCTTACCTTTCTGAGGAAGAAAACAAATGCAGCCCCATAACAATAGAGTGCAAAGCCAAGAAACCCTGAAAAACAATGGAGTTAGACATAAAAAAAAAATAGCATAGGCCAAATTTAGCCAAAAATACACACTTGTATATTATTTACCCAAATGGATGATCCATGCCTGTGAGTTCAACCACTGCATCCACCTGCAACAGCAACAACGTCTGTCTTAAAACTACCAGCCCAGATGACAATCAATCATGCTCCGTCCTCTCTTTCTCCAGAAAGTTTGACAGCAAGGGGTTGCCAGGAAAAGTGCAAGGAAGGATACTAAAATTTTTCAGCTAACCTGCTTACACTGATTGCAATGAGGTGATTGTAGACAGCTGGTGCCCTGTGAAAATCAACCTTATTGGACGAGCACAGGAGCATTGATTCAAATGACTGCATGGTGATGGCTTGAATATGAATGTGAGGTTATAGCCTAAAACCATCTTTTGCCTTCCTCTTAATGTCTTTTTATAAATCTGTAAGTCTTGAATATAGAAATTAGACATGATTAATAAGAAGACATTAAGCTTGATCATATTTGGAACAGTGTGTTGAGGTTACATTCAGGTTATTTCATAACCCTTTTAAATTTTGAAATGTTAAGCACTTTAAGTTAATGTTGAGGCCTTAAATGTGATCATGATCGTACCAAGAGAGAGTGACTCAGATGGAGCTCCAGGCAGATATTTGACCCATGTGAATGAAAGTCTTGAACATTTTCTCTGGATCATTGTTAACAAGCGGGAAAGTTCATGAGCATATTCTATTTCACGGATTCCCTTTCACCTCTCCATTGTCAGTGCAGTCATCTCTATCAGTGACCTTTTGTCCTGTAAATCACTCTGTCTTGTCTGAATGTAAACCTGCTTCAGTTGAGATAATCATTAGAATGAACTTATTTAAGGTGACATAATGATCAGAATTAATCCATGAATATTATTTCAGTGTTACTGACTCCTGTCCTGTTGAGTTGATGCAGGTGTCTGACAGCCTGCCTGCGTACCTGTTCACTGAATTAATGATGAGCTGGGTCCACAGGAAGTGGAAGAGGTTCACCATGCAGAGCAAGAGAGATACCATAGAGCTGGCTCTGCAGATGGACATGACAAAGAAGCACTTTGAGAGGAAATGCCAGCAGGTTGCACTCACCAAATGGTTGAACTGGGTGAAATTACACAAGAGGACACAGGCTGGTAGGTGACTATAAAATATTTCTGAGTGAAAAAAGAATCATGAGGAGTGTTGGCTTAACTAATGGGAACTGAACTGTTTTTGCAAGCTCTGACTTTCTCATGTATAGCCAGAGAAAACATGCATTGTGGTTAAGAAATGTGTCCAAACTGAAAGTCTTTCCTGACAATAATTTCTTCCCCACTGTGTACACCCACTCCTGTGACTCATTTTGTCCCTTCTACTTTCACCATTAAACTCTGAGACTTGACCCTATTTTTAAAGGCATATTTTGTCTTGTGATTCAGTTCAGTCCAACTTATATTTACTTATATTATATTTCAGTATAACTTATACAGTTATATTGTTGCCATAATTTAGCCCACATGTTATCCTCTACTAAAAAAGAATTGCAAATACTTGTGTTGTTTTAAAGATTTCAATTTCTTTTCAACTTAGCTGCCATAGAGAAACTTGAGAGACTTGTAAATGCTGGTCGCAATAAGCGCATCATAGCTGCATGGTGTAACGTTGCAAAGGACGCCAAGAGGACAAAGGAGTACTTTAAGGTACGCTTTTATGTGGAGTTTTAGTTTAACAAATGTGTGCAATCACACATGTACACATACACACATTATCAACATATTTCAGTGTGTTTTTATGCATCTTGCAGAAGTTGGAAATGGGTTCTCTAGAAATCAACAGCAAGGACCACCAGATTGGAGAAGGATGTGATGGACTCTCAGTGCTCCCTGGCAGCCTTGCGTTGAAGGTACTTCTTCTTAAACCTCACAGCGTTCATGAAGTTCACTCAGAGTGATGATGGCCCTGGTTTTAAAGCTGTAGAAGTGACATTTTTCAGTTCTCAGTGGCCAGTGATAGTACATAAGGACTTCACTGTAAACATACAAGGTGGGGCTATCACATGTGGCTATCACAATAATGACACTCATACTGGTTCAACCTACATAAGACCAGTCCTGTCATTTAATGACCACACCTCATACTTCCAGTCTCTGTGAGGCCAGTTGATTAAGGTCAGTCACAGCTGATTATGCTATAGTGTAGCTGTTACCCACAGAGTGTACTGTGTTTATGGGACAATTCACTCACAAGATTTGTTGCAGTGTTATGGTTTAAGCACATTAATGATAATATTTTTGTAGACCATATGTAATTGTTGGAAGTACTTTCATAGCAGTGTCTCTCTAAATTAAAAAAATGTTGGAAACTTCAGTGAACAAGTTATCTTACTGCCTCTTTTTAAAACTAATCAGTTGTAGCCCCTGTTTGCTTTGGCTTCACATTTCCTGGCAATGTGAGTGCAGTTTTGGCTTTGTTTGCTCTGGTGTTTCTGCCCAACACCTCTCTCAATAAATAGTGCTCCAACATGACTATGTTTGGAGAGAGAACGGGCCTGCTTGTTCACTTGCATCACTCTGGCTTGCAAAGGGGCAGTTCCAGAGGTGGCAGTGAACCCTGTCTGGGTACCTAATTTTCCCCTTGGCATCAGCCAGATATTACCAAGGCGAGGGATGTTCATGTGAAGTTAAAACCTGGAGGACCAAATATCGATCAAAAGATCAGTATGAAAATTGTTTCATTGCTTTAATCTGTGGATTTCTTTCTCATAACATTTGGCACAGAGGAGGGTGTGCTGTAATTTTTAGTCAGATAAATAGAGAGGCAATTCTTGTGTCTACCCTCTTTCATTTCACACTTTGCAGAATTATCAGATACTGTATGTTGTATTATTTTTTTTTTCTACAGATCTTTCAATATCTAGAATTACGAGACTGGCTGAATTGTGCTGAGGTCTGTTGCACATGGAAAGCTATCATCCAGTCAGGCACACTGTGGAGTCAGGTCTGTATAGAGATTGAATCTTGTATTTAATTCATAAGTGTAACAGGAATATACATGTTTAATTTGTGTCCTTGTTAGATCAACTTCTCTGTAGAGAAAGACTGGATAACAGACAGCACAATGAAGCAGATTCTGCAGAACTATCGCCCATTTGTTATCCATCTTAACCTGCGGGGCTGCACATCACTTACATGGCCCAGCTTGAAATGTATCAGTGAGTATTCCAGATCCTATTACTACATGTGATTTTTTTGTTGTGTATTTGATATGCAATACCCATGTTTCACTTAGGTGTGCACTGACCAATACAGATCATGCTGTAAGTGTAATAATTACAAAACTGTCAATAAATTGACAAAGCTTATATTCTGATTGCACAGTACTGACAAAACATAAAAGCAACACAGGAAAAGAAGTTTCTCCATCTGATACAGACTGTTTTATAATATTGAAGGAAATTGAAAGACAGGAAAATAAAGAGCCTTTAAAAAGTCAGATTTCAGGACAATCTTATGATTTCGTATTTCTGTGGCACTCTCAAGTGGCTCGGCTCCAGTTCCTCCTCCAGCTCTCTCTGCACTTCCATCGGTGTGTTCCAAAGCTCAGGGTCTGTTTGGTCTTGATCTGTTCTGCTGTGCTGTCTGTCCTTTGGACACTCTCTGTTGTAGGAATGCACATACTCCTCCACACTCTCCCCAGTATGTTCAGGAGGGGAACGACAGATCAGGCCAGAGTGCCTCACCCCTGGGTGATGATGCAACCAGTACACCATGTAGTGGATGCTGAAAAAATGCAGTCAGTTTTTAATAATGATTTGCTATTGTGTCAAACACACATTTAAGCAGAAGAACCCACCTGTAGTCACACACCCAGGGGTTTCCCCCCAGTTTTAGCTGTGATAGGAAGTAAAGGTCTTCAAGAACCCCGTACTGGACAAAATGCAGGCTGTTGTCAGACAAGTCCAGCTCACGGAGGTGCAGGAGCCCAAACAGGGATGCTATTAGAGAGAAAAGAAATATAGTAAATGTCTGGGCATAGCATCCATTTATTTCTTGATTCTCTCAGTATAATTACATTTAGTCTGACCTAATGCTGTTTATTAATAACCGCGAAAAGTAAAAGGCAGTGGCGCCTGAATCACTTTAGCCCAGTGAGTATGTCTGTAATTCAGCTTTACCCACTATAAATAAAGCTAATACTATACATACAAAGATGAGAGAATGCCTGCTGTCTCTTAATGAGAAAAATGGGAAATAGAAGTCAACAGCAGTTGTATAACCTTATCTAGCCAAAGAATCTGGCCAAAGGAAAACACAACTTTATTAGTGTAAATCTTTATCCTGGATATTACAGGAAATATTAAGCATGCACTACAGTATTCACTAATCGTAATTAATAGCTATGCAGTATACATAGAATCTTTTACCTGTGTCGATGTGCTCCATGTTGTTATTACTGATGTTAAGGGTTCTGAGGCTCCTCGCACTTTGGAAATCTCTGGCTCTGAGATGATGGATTGAATTATGGGACAGATCAAGATGAACAACATCCTCTGGAATGCCAATGGGAACCTCAGTCAGACCTGAAAATTGAAAGGAAGGGGTTATGTAAGAAGTTACTGAAATACGTTTGATTTATTTTACTGCCAAAAGATAACTTTGGTTCAATCACATGCTCTGTATTTGTTTTTGTAATTAATCAGATTGATGTATTTTTCATCTATACCATCCAAATTTCCAAAGACTGCTCTAAGAAATCAGCTTTCCTCTCTTTGTACTGTAAGTTCAGTAACTGAAAAATTGAGGCAGAGACAGATTTATGCTCTGCCTCTGTCCATGGCCTGAATTCAATACTAATGTCCAGGCCTCCTGCCAGTAGGAGACACATAGTAATGAAACATTATTTGATTTGTCTATTCTTAGCCAAATTTAAAAGGCTTATATATGGTTTACAATGGACTTATTCTGATATAGCAGCCAAACTTTGATTAGCTGATGCTTTCCAAGTTGTTGTTTAGGTAAAAAATGACTAGAAAATGGAATCAGTCAGAGGTTAAGGAAGCAAGTAACATAACATGGAATAAAAGACACAAGCTAAACCAGATATGCGTATTTGCCAGTTCTGTGTCTGGCCCTTAAAATTCTTTGAGGTATGGAAGTTTAGTTATTCCAGTCATGCAACAGTAATATTTTATCATGAGCAAACAATCTCTCTGATGTGGTGCTACAGAGGTATTTCTCTTAAGCCCTCTGTTGCATACTAAACATGTGTACTGAATCTCTCAAAACATAATGAGGCTTAGAGTACGGTACAGTAAATCAAACTGCTTTACAAAAATATAAACTGATTGCAGACTTGCCTCGTTTACTGCAGTCCATTCGTATTTGGGGGAAAAGGTAGGTATGGCAAGATGTGGTGGCATCTGGTTTGCTGCGAAATGGACTGGGCTTTGCAGGGACTGTAGTATTTGTTTGGTCCCACTCTTGGTTGCCGGTTGGGTCTGACTCCTTACAGAGTAACTCAGGGTCAACCTGCTTCAACTTCATGCCTTTTAGTCTGATGGGCTCTTCACACCTAGCAGAAGAAATACAGTCATGGATGAGTCAAATGGAATATTTGGAGGCTGTTTGTCATTCTGAGTCTCAGTAATGAGTTTTGGTGAAACAATTCACCTGGCATGATTTCCTAAATTACGGTTGCTTGGGACCTGAAGGGTGCGGGTGAGACTGTCCAACGGGCAGAGACAATTCCAGGGATTATCATATAAACGCAGGTAGTGAAGGTTTGGCATAGGGATGAGGGCCTCCTCGCTAAGTGTTCTCAGGCGGTTGTGTTGCAGCAGCAGGGTTCTGAGGCGTGCCAAGCCCTGGAAGGCCCCTTCCTCCACTAAAGAGATCTGGTTCTGCTGCAAGTCTAGACTTGCTAAATTCTCATATCCAAAGAAGGCCCCATCTTGAAGGATTTTGATCCGGTTGCGAGCTAGAAGGAGGTGCTTGGGTTCTTTGGACCAGGTTTGTGAGGTAGGAATGGAGTTGAGACGTCGGTCCTGACAGTCCACAAAGATGTCTCCAGATTCTGTCAACTCTGTGCAGTCAGGTGAAACAAGCCCAGAGGGTCCTGATCTGCTGTGACGCCCAGCACCTCTGACCCTGATAGTAGTCAAACACAAACAAAACAAATTCGTGGCTTGTCATAGTCTATACACTGTCACAAAAGTCTGGGAAAAATGGATTGCACAAGTCAGACTCTAGAGTGAATCTATACCTGTCCCGTGTGAGTTTGTGTCGTGCTCCTCTGAGGCCTCTGCCCTTCCCCGACCTTTTCATCTCAGTGGACGGGAGCAGGAGGAGTAGGGAGGCTAAGAGTAAACAGGAGTTCACATGCATTCTGAGCCCTGCAGGGATTGTCTTTTCTGTAACAAGAGCTGGAGCCAAAGCAAGAGTTTGAGATGAAAGTCTTCTGAAAACAAACTTGAAAACAGAAGAAACGGGTCAGCAGTGTTATTGTTGATGAATTGCAGCTGCTGCTTACACTGCGGAAGAAGTGAGAGGTTGCACATTATGTAAGAGATAGGAGCCGTCCAGGAATATATATATACAGCTTTGACAGAAGGCAGACTACTGTATTAATTCATGTTGCTCCTTACATAATGTTGTATATTACTTTATTATATTTCACCTTACATATAATATTTAAAGCAAATTATTTCCAAAAATGGACAACAGAGTTTGACCAGCCATTTATCTGCCCTTTTCTATTTTTATGTGCATCTTTTATTGTAGGTGAATGCAGGAATCTCCAGGAGCTCAATGTATCAGAGTGTTTTAATGTCACAGTGAGTAAAACATTGTTAAGCTTACTGACAATATATAGATGACAGCAAAATCCTAAATCTAAAAGAAAATGCGTCTTCTTCATATCACACATATTACTTTTCTTTTTTTGTTTACACAATTTTCTAAAGTTTAATAAGAACTAGTTGATAATTATAAATAATGATAAAACCCCAATGGAAATATACACTGAAAAATGTCCTTTGCCCAAGATTAAATTATTCTTGATGATCGTCATTGTTAAGATTTATTAGAGGGTCACAGATAAGAGTAACATTTGTTCAGTATCTGGTTGCATTTGTCTAAGTCATTTTAGCCTGTTTTATTCATTGTCATATTTATTCATTTATTTTATTTCATGAAAACCAAGTAGTTAAATTTTTTGGTATTGCACTGTTGATTGTGATTTTAGACGTTACACTGTCCCATAAACGCTAGTAATATGTCTTGTTGAGAATACTTGAGGTAACATTTGAACCTGTGCTCTTTAACAGGACATGATGGTTCAGAGACTTGTCGAAGGATGTCCCTGCCTGCTCTACTTGAACCTTTCCTGCACACTTGTAACAAACAAAACTCTAAGAGAACTGTCCAGGTAGATCTCCAGATGCTTGGCTCTGTGTGGTCCAACTCACTTGTTTATCCAAGTGATCTTTTTCTGGCTTTCCGCCCCTTAGTTCCCAGTATTATCCCCATTTCTGTTTGTTCATGTCTGAAAACAGTGTAGTCAGTACCAATATAATGATTTAGAACAGCTGTGGTACTATGTATGATTGCATCATTGATAGACTTGTAGGTTGAACAGTTTAGCAGCATCGCTCAAAATGATTCACATTTTATTATACAAGAACTTGAATGTATTTTTCTTTTCCTTTTGTTAAAAACATTGAAACAAATAACTGATCTACACTAAGCTTAAACACAAATAATTTGTTTCTTATAAAATAATCTAATCGATCTTGAACAGGAACTGTCTCAACCTTCAATACCTCAGTCTGGCATACTGCTACAGATTCACAGATAAAGGTTTTCTATACCTGACCACAGGGAAGGGCTGCCACAGTCTCATCCACCTCAACCTGTCCGGCTGCACTCAGGTTGGTGTGCTCCACTCGGTTTGGTATGTAATCACAGCTTCAACTGTGGACAGGACACAGCTTCTTGCCTTTTGAATGTTCAGTGTGAGTCCGCCTTGGAGAAATCTGGTCACTGCTCTCACTGTTTGCACGTGTCTCCTCTTGTTGCTGGCTGTACACTGGTGACTGTTTGCACTCATTTAGTGCTCAAAGGGATAGGACAAAAATCTGAAGGAGAAGCAGAGTAAAAGGCAGCTCTGTCCAAGAGGAGGGTTGGGTTTATATAATCAACTGTGGCCCACCCACTCAAGATGTGCACACTCCATAACATAACACACATGTGCCGCAACATTAAACACACTTTTCTCCGGGAATGTGCATTAGTTTGGTTCCAGATGTATGGTTCCACTTTATGGGGCCCTGAAAATGTGAGCAGTGCATCCAAGAGAGTGATTCAGATTCCATCGTGGACACATATTTTCCCCTCTCTCCTCCCAGATGACAGTAAATGGGTTCAAATACATTTCAGCCGGATGCCCTTCACTCAAAGAGGTTGTGATTGATGACATGCCCACACTGTCAGATAGCTGTGTCTTGGTAAGTTTGTTCATTTATAACACTGCAGGTTTCATACAGTCTTAACATCACAGCTCAGGATAAATCAGAAAAGTATTTGCCTCATCAGCTCATCATGCATCATTGTTTGTCCACACACCCATAACCCCTCATAGCAGAGAAGAGTTTTGAATCTTACACTCCTCTAACAGGCACTACTTTCCAGATGTCGCTGTCTGTCTGCCATTTCTCTGCTGGATGCTCGTCATCTTTCTGACGTTACCTTCAAAGCCATCGCTGAAGCAGCAACACTGAAGACTTTCAGTACAGAGGGTGAGATCATTTTGCAACCTACAGCCTTCATTTCCATATACAGTACGCATGAAAAGATATAACTATATAATTATTCCGTCTGTTCTACACCCCGTGTGCGCTTTAGGTAACAACCAACTCTCAGACGTCAGCTGGAAGGCCCTGTGCAGCAGCTCGCAAGGCCTCAGCCGACTCCACGCTGCAGAATGTCCCAGAATGACTGACACAAGCCTCAAATCTGTCGCTACCCTCAGGGACCTGCATTACCTGGACATCTCACTTTGCCACAAGTTTGTGTGTTTGTACCTGCTGAAGCATGTTACACTTCCAATCTTGATGTTGTGCTTTGTCATTTTACTGCATGACGTAATTCGTGTTTCAGGGTGAGTGATGTTGGGATCAAGTACTTGACTGAAGGTTCCTCAGTCACCAAATTGCGAGAGCTAAATGTCAGTCACTGCAGCCACATCACTGACATCTCTGTCATGAGGATTGCACAAAGGTATGCAGTATAACTGCATACACACACACTCATAGAAACATACCTTGCAGTGGTCTGTTAATTAGTTTCACGTAGCAGCTCTTTTGTGTCTTTTTGTGTATGTGTGTGCATGTGTGTATAATTGATCAGGTTGTGTAAACTGCACCATCTCAACTTGAGTTACTGTAAGAGACTGACTGACATGAGTCTGGAGTGGCTGAGTGGCAGCTCTATCTGCTCTCTTGACATCAGTGGTTGCAACATCCAGGATCAGGTATTGTTTGGATGTTTGTTCTTACAGTCACACATTCCTGTAAAAAAAAGAAAACTGACCTTTGTGGTGAACAATCTGTAACTTTATGGTTGTACTTTTAGGGACTGGCTGCTGTTGAGGAAATTCGCTTGAGGAAGTTAATTCTTGCTGAGTGTGTCTACATCACAGACATTGGCATAGAGGTACAAATCTAGCTAGAATTTCAACACATGGCCAGATGTAAAATTTTTGTGGAGTCCAAGTTTACTTCCCTTTACATTGTTGACAGGGATTAAACTTGTACTCAAACAGTTTCCCAGTAAAACAGTTCCAAAAAAAGAAGTCACTCAAACAGAAGTGAACAGAAGAGTAATCTTAGTAATCAGTAGACATAGTAATCTTTTTGTAGCATCAGTTAACATTTTATCCCAAATCTCTCTGTCTCCTTCTTTGTTCTCCACGAGGACAGAAGCTGTGCAAGAATGTGAGAGATCTGGAACATGTTGATGTGTCTCACTGTGTAGCTCTGTCTGACCCAGCCATCAGAGCCATTTCGTTTTACTGCACAGGTCTGGTCACACTGCGGATGTCAGGTTGTCCCAAGGTACACACACAGTAGACGCATTCTTCTGAAGCATTTACATATTCCCTGGTAGTTCCCAAGTCCATTGTGTATCCCCTTGTCACTTCATGCCACGTTTTCTGTTTTCTTCTGCTTTGCTTCAGATGACAGATGTGGCAGTGCAGTATCTGACAAGTGGATCTCGGTACCTGCGAGAGCTTGATGTGAGTGGCTGTGTTCTCCTCACAGATCGCACACTACGACACTTACAAAGGATCTGTCCTCCGCTCTGCTCCATCACAATGTCCTGCTGCAGCAGCATCTCCAAGTAAGACAAATTTAGAAGAGCATTGCAAAGTTAAAGTCCTGCATGAGAACTTTTAATGAGCAGTGAGTGTGTGTTCCTTCAGGTTGGCCGCCTTAAAGCTGCAGCCACGTGTGAAACACTGGGAGCACAGCAACGACTACCCTCCATACTGGTTTGGGTACAACGTGGGTCAAATAGTGCATCCAATAACAAGACCCATCATGACTGATGACACCTGGGATGTGGTAGAGCAGCACTCAGTGATAACAAGAGCAGCAAGTAAAGAGAGGACATAAACAGATCTCAATAAGTAATGATTTTATAAAAACACAGTCCTAAGTAATAGGCACAGCATTACTGATAATCATGCAGTCACAGCAGCTATCACTATATTACATACTTTATATCAAAATGTATTAAAGGCATTTTCAACAAACCATCATTTGAGATAACCCTCAGCAAAATCTCAAATTACTGGTTATAATCAGCTTGAGTTTCACTGTTTTGTATGTACCCTACCTGTTTGAATAGAAGGTCAGAATTAGCACTGCTTCAGCTGTCTGCTTGACACATTATATTTCATCAGCTCCTGACAGTGGAACATCCTGTGCTGTCCTGTGTTGCCTTTGATACTGTAGATCACTTTTTGCTTCTACATAAATTTTTACACATTGCCTTTGACGCTTGGCAAGGCTCCAGTGGCTGAATTCAAGTATGTGATTTTCACTGTGGTTTTCTTCAGGGGTCCTTTATTGTTGACAATTTATAGTAAGGATATGATATGAAGTTGATATTTAATATATAATTTGCATGCTAAATTTTCTTTTGCTCCTTATATTCTATACAGCCATCCATCAAAAGTCAGCAACTTCTAAATTGTAAGTTTGTTTTAAACTAAGATATACAGTTTAAAAAACCTTACTGCTCCAATTTTGGGTTGTATATACTGTATTTCTTAGATGACACTAGGATAGATGCTGCCTCAGTCTAACTACAACAGATTCCAGATTGAGGAGAAACTTAATTTAAAATGTTCCAGAGATGGCTAGTAGGAAGATTACTGAGAAAAGTTGCCACCCTGTATATGAAGAGTTGCTTCTTTATCCCTAGCAAAAAGAAAAATAATTTTAGATTATAGAGATACAATCTATAGTTGAGCTGCAGCCATAATTCTGAAATCACTGGACGCTGTTTACCATGCAGCACTAATTATTAATCACAGATGACAAGTATAACACACACCACTGTGTGGATGCAAACGTTGTCTGGCCATCTGTAGGATTAAAGACATGACTATCATTAGTATATATTCAATTGCAAAGGTTTTTACTTCCATATACAAAGAACCAACTACAAATCACTTTATTTTTGGACCTCAGGTCAACAGCCTGATTTCAGGGCTTGTGAAATCTGATCAGAATTGTTTTGTTTCTTTGTCTAAATTTTGTGATATAGTATAATATATAGATAGTTTGTCCATGCAATGTCTGTGTACAACTATGTTGTTTATTTATGCTTATTAAATTAAAAAGATGTAACCTTTTATTTTACAATCTTGATATATCTTTTGTTCATATAACACAGTCTATTTGCTTTACACCTGCTTTTTTTCCTACTGTACCCTAATTTTTATCAGGAAGTTTTAAGAGTGTGTGGATCTGTTTTATGTGGGACATAACTGTTAAAACTCTCTGATCTAAAGATCTGTGATGCTCCAGTGAGATGAGGCTCATTAGTTGAAACAAGTATAGATCGTGTGCAGTTCATCAGCTCATTTGGTGCACTAATATAAGGCTCTTGTGGCATGTGCAAAGAGGGTTGTGGGAAATGTGTTTTAAGATAATTTATTGCAGTGTGACACTTCTAATTTATTTTATAGTATTAACATGTCATACAGATGACAAACAATCACAGACAGCCAAAAGTAAATTTACCAATAATTTGAACAAGCTAACAGTTTCTAATAAACATTCAGAACAATTTTACAGTTCAGCACAAAGCAGTTGCAAGTTACAAAGTATGCTTTCAACACTCAGTGTATATACAGTGATCTTTAACACATGCAGAATATTTGTTAAATACTTGTTCAATCCCACATCTTATACCCTGCCTCACCTGAAATCACCTGTAGTTTTTTTTTCAATACTATAGATGATATATAATTTCCTCATTAAAAGTACAACATATCCTGAGCAGAGAGTTAAATACTTCAGTGAGGTAAAGGTTCATTCAGTCAGTAAATATCTGGCACTGTAAGTGTAAAGCCCCAGTGCAGTGATGCGGCATTATGAATAGAAATCCTGTCAGTCATAGCTCAGCTCCCCAGCTTCAGAGACTCAAACCAGCTTTGTGTCCTCAGTCTTACAGAGCCTCTGTCTGCCTGAGCTTTAACCCACTGGTCCACCGGAGATGCTCCATTCATATAACCTAAAAGAAATACAGGAGATATTGAGAGTATGTGAAGGAATCAGAACATTATGTGTTGATTTACTTGGAGGGTTTATTTGCCGTAAAATGTGCTGTAATGAAAAAACAATGGCTCACCAGTAACTGTGGTTTGGCCTTGGGTTGTGTTGTTTTCTACTTCATGCAGAACCATCTCTGGGCTGATTTCCACCGACGATCCACGGAGTTCCACCCCTGCTCTTAACGTGGATGGGACACGCACACACACCGCTCCTGCATAAGGCAGAAGAATGAGAGATGAACTAAGAACAAGAAAATGACTCAAAAGATAGGACAGTACAGAGGAAAGACAGCAATGGTTTGTAAGGTGAATATTCCCCTTATACTGTGTGTTTACCTTCCTGGCTGTGGAGTTCAGCACTGCCACTGTCTCCTACGTAGACATCAATGCCTCCACTGTGAGAGGAAACCTTCAGGAAACTATTTGAACCATCTGCAAAAGCAAAGCAAAAGCCTCACGTGTTTTGTTTTTACCAGCCACTGATAGACACCATACGTAGGTCATTGTGCAATCAGTCAGCCTGCTTACCTATAACTGTATCTCCAGACACGTTCTTCACAGTGGCATTGCCTTTTAATCATTGAAAGCACAAGGTCAGTATTAACTGATGTAGGTAGGTTACAAAAATACAGAAATGGAATGAATGTTCACCAAAGTTAACAAGATAATTGTTTCCATGTATTCTATGATGACAGGAAGATGTATCCGGAAGAGATTAAAATTCAACTTGGATGACAGATTTTCTTCGCTTCATGTGACAGGGCTGTTTGCCTTTGTTATCCAATCTGTACTTTCAACTATGAGTCTTTTTCCAACTAACCTGTTTTATAGATACCCCCAAAACAAACAACCAGTACAGAATTTGTGATAAATTGAAACCACATTGCAGTTAAAATAGACTCTGTTGGATCAGAGCCCAGGATTCCTGACATACCAAAGTCCAGTACTCCCAACCAAAATTAACAATGCAGATGTGTAACAATGGCTCGTGGACAGTGGAGGCTGACCAAAAATTCCTCCCAGTGTGTGTACAAGCAGGAAAAAGTGAATATAAATGGTGTGTTTGTTGGAAGAAAGTTGAAATGACCACACTCACACTGGTTGATTTTTTCCACTTCAAAGAATTTTTTTTTTTTTTTTAAATAAGACTTCCAGGATTCACCAATAGACTAAGATTTTTGCTGTGTTCACTATGTTAAGTCTAGCATGGTCGAGTATAAATATGAGCAGTACTTCAAATTTAAAGTATGTTACTTGAGTACATTTATTTAGTTACTTTCCACCACTGCTAATTGCTTCACTCTGCACTTGAGTTTGGCTGCAGCACTAACCACACAAACAATTTAGATGAGAATATACTGTATACTGTAGATACTTTAGTATAAGTGAGTAACGGATGCTGCAGTTTGCTCACCGTGCACATGCCCCAGCTGTACTCTCCCAGAGCAGGAGGAGATGCAGCTGGACTCTGCATAGATGGCTTTGACCTTCAGTGGGCCGTGTTCTGTTGAAACGGTCATCTCGGTGCCCTGGAGCTTCTTGACATCCACTGCCTGCGAACACATAGCATGGCACAGGGCTGTAGCCAGGTGATGTATAATATAAACTTTTTTCTTAGATTTATCTCCACATCATAAAGTGAAACATACAACTCAGTGCTTCAAACACATTTAGATAAATTCTTTATTCAGGCTGCTGCTGCCCCCTAATGTCTGCTGAGTGTGAGACCAACAAGTAACAAGTAATAAAACTGTCGTCCTTACACTGTCTCCACATGTACTGATGTCCACATTGCCGTGGATAGTGCCCACACCTGTGACATGTCCTCCATTGGACTGCACCTTCACCTGATGACCCTGAGATACAGCAAACAACAGTGACAGGATCAGGGGTGGGAGTTCACTCTGAAGATTTTAGGAACACTTGTGGGGTTTCTTTTGTTTTTTTGTTTGGTGACATAAGCAGTTATAGAAGACATTGGTTTTTGAAGCCGTACTTTCTTCACACATTTCAGCCAATACTGACTCCAATATGCTTTTTGAAGAGTCTTTTTTAGTCAATACCGCTTTAAGAAAATGATATGTGATTAAATGGGTAATTTGAAAGTTGTATGAAGTGGCAAAGGAATGCTGATATCAACCAGTAAGATGCAGATGGTACTTAGTCATATCAGTGCACTTTCTGCAATAAGCATTAGTTTATGTTGTCATGCCACCACCTACCTTGACAGAGTGCAGCAAACAGTTGCCTCTCTCTGTTTGCACCTTGCAGATGTCACACTCCATTTTCTTAACTGCTACGTTGCCGTTTCCTTGAGTGTTAATGTAGAGATCTGACCAAAATACACATACTGAAATTATTCATGGACACCTAAGTTCAGTGAAGTTACTTCTATGAAATCCAATGTGGTGCAGTAACTCTTTTATAACAACTGAGTGGTCATTTAATCGCATCATTTCACAGGAGACACTCACTGCTTTTGATAGGTGCAGCCAGATCAATCGACACGTTACTGTTCACCTTCTCAGCGGAGATCAGAAGCTCTTTGCTCTGATCATCGTAGTGAACGCGTAGGTGATCCAGATCGACCTCCTGCTGCTCGGCATCTGTTCCGTGGACTGTTATGAAAGCTCGGTCAGCCTCCGGGAAGGCGTGCAGGTCCAGCGGGCGGATGGAGATGCTACAGGCCAGCTGTGCCCGCACCGTACAGAAGGGGCTCACCTCCAGAGCCCACTGCTTGAGAGGCTGGTTTACCTCTACATGTGTTGGAGACTTCGCGGGGGCAGAGCTGTAGAAGGACCGTGAAGTGTGCAACGGGCACCGGGGGGTTATGAGAGTCCTGGGGCTGACTGTGAGGGACCAGCAGCGGAGAAGTCCGACACATCCCCGCTGACCGGCTGAGCTCTGAATTAGAAACGCTGCCATTCAGTCGATATGGAATATCATAACACTGTCAAACTTGTGATACACTTATACAACAAGACCGGACTTCCGGTATGAGCTTTCACACTAAAAGCGACAATTACAATTTACAACTTCACTATTACTAACATTTTTCAAACTAGCAAGTGTTAAAGCAGCCAGATGCTGCAGTGTGTTCCCCCAGTGCTTGTACTGGTAAGTGCTCTAAAAGAAAAGATAAATGAAAAGTGGAGAGTATAAAGGAGGTGTGAAAAAATATATATTTGGTGTATTTTTAGCAAATTGAATTTGTTGTTAATACAATTTTTTTTCATATTGGACATAATTTAGACCTTTTCTTAGCATGTTCACACAGTAAACTGTTTAACCATAAATAATTAGATTTTCAATCTGAACTTCCATGGCCTTGGTTTATTTTCTGTAATGAAAACATTTTCAAGGTAATAACCCCACATTCCTGCCCTGCTTTGTCCAACATGTACAGATTCTCTAAACTGAAATACCACCTGGCCACACGTTTGCTAAAGCAGAGCGCACTGTAAGGCCCTTATCACATCCGTTGATATTGTGCTTTAGAAGTGCATATTACCAAAGAAATTTTCAATTTATTTAGCAAAAAAAATGTTGGTACACTAAAAGTCTGGATATTTCTGCATCCAAGAACTCCAGTGGGGCAGAAAGCTTTAGTTGCCCAGCTTGGCCAGTTGATAATCCAGGCTTGCAAACAACACATAACAAGCACTGAGGAGTTCCTTGCTTTTCACCCTGTTGTATAGAAATACTGCTCTGAAGATAAGATCAACAAACCAATTAATCAAGTAATCTTTACAGCTCAATATAGTACCAACACCTTATCCCTTCACACATGCTTTTTTTGCTTTTATGTTGAAAGCAAACTCTTTTACTTCCGGTCTCATTCAGCCTCACTGTAGTTATCTTGATAGACCGGATGTAGAATCTTGCATAAACATAGCGCCGTCCCCTTCTAGTTTTGTCCAATCAGAAGGCCTATCTAAGCAAGTTGCATGTGTCGTCATTCTTTCCGCAAAGGCTGTAGGGAATTTGTGTTTTGCACTTGCATTTATGCGCCTCCAAAGCTCCACTGACTGAATTGGGTTTCTATAGTTTTCTATAAAGTAAATCTGCTCAATCGACTCATTGTCTAATGTTGATATAAATATGTAATTGTTATTAAGTCTATTGATCATTTTGTACTTTAATTTGCAGCTAATTTCAGCAGGCAAAACAAACGAATAGAAATCATTTTTGTAAATTTATTTTATTTATCTTAACAAAACGAACTTTATTATAAAACATCCCAAACAGCTTCAATCAAACATCAACTGGCCTTCCAGTACTGTAATAAAAAACATCAGTCTCTGTGCTTCATACCAGTCAGATTCAGACTAGAAAAATAACAAGAGGATTTCTCTCTGTCGTCACTGAACAAATCCCACTCATAAAAACAAAAATAACAACGTTATGATATATTAATATTAAACGGTTATTTAAAAAAAAAAAAGATACTATGTAACAAGGACTACAGCCTTAACTATGTACATCCTCAGTTATTGTCATTAACTTGTATACAAACCAGTAGGCTATTGCAAAATCAGCCACCACAAGGCGGCAGTATTGTGTAAATGGTGAACAACAACTGTGTGGAGATTATGATAGGTTTTATTAAAACTGAAAGGGGCACCTCAGGAGCTTATGGTTTGAGTTAGCAGTTACACCCTTTGTGTTTATTTTGTTTTCAAACATGCCCAGACAGACTCGCAGCTCATGGTGCAAAGCCTTTTGGTCTGATCATCATCCTGACAGTTTTAAAAGACCGTCTGTCACTGGTGGGGTAATACTCTGTCGATATATTATGCCACGTCCCCCAGAAAATCCCATCCCGGACTCCAGTGTACGTTCCCACGTAGTATCTCCCGTTGAGGTTTGCAGCCATGCAGGCATCAAACCACCAGCCGGAGCTGTAGTAGGCCCCGCAGTTCCCGGAAGGATAGCGGTCGTTGTCCCTGTCCGGGGTGGTGAACGGCCTGTTGTTGTGATCATAAGTTTTGCTGAAGCGGAGAGCATCACCCGCGGTACCAGAGTAACCTCCTACTGTCAGCCTGTAGCGCAGACGCTCACTTGCCACCTTGAACTGCTCGTACTCTGCATACTCCATCACTGCGTCAAAATCCTCCAGCTCCACCCGCAGCACCATGTCCCTGTCCCGGGTCAGCAGGTGGATCATATTGTTACCCAGCCAAAACTCTCCTCCGTCCAGCTCCCCGAAGCCTGATCGGTACTCAGCCCAGGTGCGGTTGAAGCTCACGCTGCCGTCCAGACGGCGCTGCACGAGGGTCCATCCTCCTCCACCCAGCTCCATGTCACAGAACACTGGGAAGGCTTTGCTACGGATGTCAGGGGTCACTTGGTACACTCCGCTTTTTGTTTCTCCTCGGAGCAGGTGGTCTGAGCAGTCTCTCTTCACCGTGGTGACTGCAGAAAAGGGAAATTGGAAGAAAAGGATTATGAAAACTTTTTTTTGTCTCAAATTCCTCCAAAAGCAAACTAGCCCTTCTTCATGGAGGAAATGAACTAACTAAAGTCCTGCTTCTTCTCATATGATGCAGGTGAAATTATCACTGCAGCTGGGATGCAGCCCTGAAATGTGTTGGGTGAGGTCACAAGTGCAACAGGTCAGTACAGAACTACTTTTCCACCATAAAAGATTGAGTGTTTTTGGAGCCTTTCTAGGTGTACCTCCACACTAGATACACGTATAGAATTTTGAATTTAAAAAAAGTAAGTAGTAAAGATCAAATGAGTTCACTGTTTTGATTAAACACAGGTGTACAGTGTGATGTAGTCTGTAAAGAATGAGTTGAACAAATGGGATATGGGAATCTTCTTGACCTACATCTGTTACTGCATGATTAGCAGGCTGTTAGTTGTTAGATTGATTCATATGCAGTGTTTGAGCTCAAGTGTCAAACTCATAAACTCAAACTCAAGAATCCATAAGATTGATTTGATGATAAATTATTCACTTACTGTAAGACAGCTGCACTGAAAGAGGTTTTTAAGCAGTTAGTCTATGCATACTTGTGGTTTTATCCCTCACACACACATTATGCACAAGTATGCAAATTCCTCCTTTGACAAATAATAGCTGTGATGTATAGCACAAAGATGATCTCACACACCACATAATTATATTATGATTCTTTACATGAGAGTCATTAGAGCTTACATGTGAGCCTCTTACTGAAAATCCTTTCAGCTCCGGTTATACCCATTTGCCTTTTTAGTGAGAAATGCAATGAAAGCACTTATAATACTAATGCACAGCAGTTCTTTAGTCGTTTTCTCTCAGCCTAATTATTGCGATGTAATGTGACAAGAAGACAGCAGATTTTTGTGATGGAATTTCATTGTGAAGTTCAATATGCCTTTTCTCTTTCCTTTTCAAGCTATAATTCATTTGTATTTATCTATTTTGTGCAGTGAATATTAATAGCCTACATAAAGCAAGATTAAAATCAAATCAGTGTTATTTGCTACCATACATCGTATGCACACAAAGACAAAACTTGATCTGCTCTGTGACAGCATGAAATAATTTGTCTTGCCTTTAAATGGTATCCGTGTTGGCAGTTTGCGGTCAGGCCTGTTGCCTCCCTGGTTGTACTCAGGGTGCTCTTTTGGACGCCTGTCCAGTGATGGTCCATTTGGACTCAAGCTGTTATTGAGGAAAGCAGCCACCTGGTTGATTTTCACACGCAGCTCACGTGTACTGGGAGTGGAAGACTCAGCAGCCGAGGGCTTGAGGCCAGAGGTGGCAGGGGTTGTTGACCTGAAGTCAGTTTGTGCACTGGGGGAAGGGACTGGAATCATCATTTTCCCTGGATCTGGAGTTTGTTTGGGCGCTGTTTCCTCCACATTGTGAAGTATCTTAGCTTGTAAGCCGGTGTCAGTATTAGAAGCTAGATTTAGCTTTGTGGATCCTGGAGTGGTGCTAGGGATAACACTTGGGAGGATCCCACGGATGATTTTGTTTGGTCTTGTTGTCATTGGGATCGATGATGGTTGACCGGCTGTTTGTGGCCTCAGATCAGACGTAATCCTGCTGTTTGGGCTCATCGTGAAGCCTTCAGGGAGAGTGTGAAGGAGAGGGAAGGGTCGAGTCTCCAGGCTGCTGGAAGTCTTTGCACCCAGAGTGACAGCAGTCTGTTTTATGGGACCAGATGTAGGTGGCATGTCAGTTTGAGAATTTTGGATGCCATCTGAAGTAGTCCCGCTGATATGAGGAGGATCTAAATCTGCTTTGGTCTTTGGGCTTGGCTTTAGTTGCACTGCTGGTTTTAGCCTTTGAACAGATGTTGCTCCTGGCTTGAAAGTAGGTCTAATTGGTGGTCTATGTCCAGGGGGAGGCCTTGGTTTGGATGTTTTGTTGGATTCTGCCTCAGGGATTTCATCAGGCACAGATTTTGGGTTGGGATTATGCATTTGGCCAGGCTGAGGTGTTTTAAGGCCCTGATTTGTTTGTGGTGCTTGGCCAGGTTTAGGGTTCAAATTTGGTTTAGTCTTTTGGCCTGTTGTGGGCTCTGGATGTTTTTGGTAAGGTTCATGGCCAGGTTTAGGGTTTTGGTTAAGAATAAGAATTTTCTGGCTGGGTTCAGGCTTTTGATCAGGGGGTATATTAATATGATCAAGTGTAAGCTTTTGTCCAAGTGTTGAGACTTGGTTAGATTTAGGCTCAGGAGAAGTATTTTCGTAAGAATTTCCCATTAATTCTGTTACAGACTTTTGGTTATCACTTTCAGATTCAGGCTCTTGAACAGGTGTGAAATATTGGTTAGGTTCAGACCTTTGATCAGGTTTTGTTTTTTCTTCACTTTTTGGCTTTTTCTCAGGGTTTTGCTTTTGCTCAGGCTTGTTGGTTTTGAGAGGATGATGCAGCTTTTTCTTGTGTTTGGAGTTTTGATGAACAGTTGTGATTTCAACAGATTCAGGCTCTCGGCCAGTCAGAGGATCTGTATCAGAACCGGTTGTGTTTACAGTTACAGGTCTTTGATGAGATCTAGGTCTCTGGACAGGAGGTATAGACTTCTGATGAGATTTTGGCTTTTGATCATATAAATTGTTCTGAACAGTTGTACGGTCTTGGTCATGCTTAGGTATTGGTTTGTTTTTCAAATTTTGATCAGTAGTTAAATTATCAGGTGATACTCTCTGGTCAGGTTTTGGAATTTGGACCTGCTGAGGGTCTTTGCCAGGTTTGGGTTTCTGGTCAGCTGCGGGTTTTTGGTGAGAAGGCCTCTGCTTTTGGTTGTGTTTTGTTTGTTTACGGTCATTCTTAGGATTTTTTAGTTTTCGGTCTGCTTCAGGCTTCATTCCAGGTTTATACTTTTCACCGGGCTTTGCTCCTCGGCCTGGTAGAGGTTTCAAGACCATCTTGGTGTTTGAGCCGATGTTCGTTTTAGCTGTCCAACGGCTGCCATCTGCAACTCCTGGGAATGTAGTTGTGTACAAATTCTGACTGGGAGTAGTGGTGGTTGTAGTTGCTGTAGTTGAGCTAACTTGATCCTGGAAGCCTGGACTTGGACTTGGACTAGTTGTAGAGGTGAACCTAGTGGTGGTACTGGTTATCTGTTGTCCGGGGCCACCCAATGACATTATTGTGGCTGTTGTTGACCTACTTGTGGCCCTAAAGCCTGCCTCTGCATCGGGGTGTGGGTGCTCAGAAATGCCAGCTGCTACACCTTCTGTGCTTAGGGTTAGTAGTCCATTAGCAGCTACCGTCATCCCTTGAGTGACATCTGGTATCAAATGTGAACTGGACAAAGGAGGAGATGGAAGAGATGACGTAAGGCTTGTAGCTTCGTTTGAGTCCATGGAGTCATGTCTCGGAGCTAAACTTATGGAGGACTGAGGAGTCGGGCTGATTGAAACAAAGTCTGTCCTTTCAGTTGCTTTGTTGGATGTTAATTCTCCATCACTGTCTCTCTGTACACTCTGGACCCCTTTTTCTCCTTCTGTTTTGATCTCCTTGCCTGTCTCCCTGTCCTTCTCCTCCCCCTTATCCTCTTTTACAGTTTTCTCTTTTCCTGCATGCCTGATGCTTTCAGTCTGTTTTGGTTTCTCATTATTTCGCTCCCCTTTTATTCCGTTTTCTATTTTCTTTTTCCTGTCCTCCTTGTGCTGCTCCTGCTCCTTATTTATATGCTCATCATGGTCCTCAGACATCTTTGTTCCATCACTCCCCCTGTCTTCTTCAGTTCGGGTCTTTTCGTCTGTTTCCTTTGTTTCATCTCGCCACACGTGATGGTCACTTTCTTCTGTTTTTTCCTTATTTTTTATATTAGTGGTCGTCTCTCTTTCTTTTCCATTCTCCAAGTTATCGTCTGGATCTCCCTTTGAATCCCATTTTCTACCTTTTTCTTTATTTCTTTCTGTCTCTGTCTCTCTGTTATTTTTTTCAACCGTCTCTCTCGTCATATCCACTATTCTCTCATTTCCACCAGCAGTTGGCTTCTCTAACTGCCCCAATTCGTCCTTTCCTTTTGCCCCCTCTGTCTGAGTTTTTCCGTCTTTTTCTGCCACTTCTTTTAAGGTTTCTGCTTTCTCATTTTCTTTTATGACCCCTTCATCGCTCTCTCTTTCTGCTTCCCATTTCTTTCTCTCTCTCTCTTCCAGAATTGTTCCTTTTTCTGAATCAGTGTTACCATCTCCTTCCATAATCTTTTCCACTTTAACACTGTCTGTTCCACACTCCTGTCTAAAATCTTTTAGTCTGTCAGGATTTCTCTCATTCGCCCAGTTACTCTCATCCTCAGGTCCATCTGTACCTTCATTCAGTTTCACATGCTCACTTTCTCTTTGCCTTCCACACTCTCTCTCAGTTTGGCTTACTGTACAATCTGCACACATCTTCCTCAGTTGATCCACATTGTCCTTCAGCTTCTGCAGATCCGTCATGATCTTCTCCAGCTCTCCGAGCTGCTTTGGCAAATGAACAGTCAGCGGTGGCAGACTGAAGAGGTAGGGGCATGTGTTCTCATCCTGCCCCTCTCTGCACAGCCCCTCAATTTGCAGAGTTGCAGTGCAGGGCCCAAATCCCTTAGCCCCCAGGAGGTCTCCTTCACCAGAGTCTGCTGTGGTCCAAGAGAGGCTCAAAAAGGCCAGCAGGGTCCCACATACGCACAGTGCTGTTAACCTCATCGCGTCCTGAGAGTAAATAGTGAAAGGAGAGACAGGAGAGAGTGTAAAAAAGATCCACTTCAGTTTGTGAAGCACAGTGACAGTGAGAGGAGGAGGTAAGGTGGGAGGGAGAAGAGGAGGGAGGGGGAACTGATAGAGCTGCTTAGTGAAAAGCAAGTCCGTGAGAGAAATGAGGAGCGAGACGCTTTGAGAGGGAAACAGGTGAAAAAAAAAAAAAAAAAAAACAGAGCGAGAGGAGGATTGTGAGGATGTACCTCTCAGTAGATGGTGTCTGAGATAGTAGATGATAAGCATGACGCGTGAGGAAATTGTCAAATATTTCTACTTCATAATATAAGCAGAATTAGTCGTAACACTTAGAAATCAGTCATGAAAAGCCACAAAATGTGAGAGCTACAGAAAGTATGTCTTCTTGTAATCCTATTATTACATTCCAATTTATCTTGCTCCTAATCACATCGTGTAATGAAGACCATTTGTAATGCATTCTCACTCCATGCTGTAATGATAAGTATATCATGGTCTTCAGTATGCATATGTGTCACAGTTGCTTTGGCAGGCGCTTCCCAAGCTTCCTGTCAGTGGGTCCTCAAACATGTGAAGGGCAGATGCGACAGGTCAAAATATGCATTTGATATGAATAAAATATTGGCTACTGGGGCAGAGCCAAGAGTTTGTTCCTCAGATTTGTAAGGACATATTTCATTTTACTGTAAGCTGTGTGGTTTTGTTCAGATTCTGAATAATGGAAGTCAGGAATGTCATATTTATCCGAGAAGGCCGCTTGATTCAAATGCATTTCCAGGGGAGAGAAATTTCTCATGTGCTATTGACTGTATTTGGACAGTACTAATCCTTGACAAGTGTAGAGAATCAGTGAGGCAATCTCTGGGTGGAGAGGCTAATCTCACTGTGTACAGACTGTACGTTCATCTAAGATTGGGGCTTTTAGCTAAGTCATTGTGTCCACATATAGTCAGAAAAAAAAGAAAGAGAGAAAACAGAGTCACATGAACTAAATGAGGCATCTGCTTGGCAGGGAGTTTAGATAATGAGGCTTTAGTTTCTCAGACCCGGGGTGTAAATGTCAGTCCCACCACAGGATATGAGATATGAGTGATAGCATGCAATGCCTGTGTTTGATGTTTCTGAAAATTGTCCATTTTTGATGCTTGTTAGACCACTTAAATTGTCTTATTTTTAGACTGTGATGAAACTGGACCCCTGTGTATTTTTGTCTCTTTCACTGGATGTTTGCTCTGACTGCACGAAGCTGGAGAGATTTCTCAGCTGTCCTTTAATAATGACAAAGGAAACCATTTGTTTAGTGAGAACACTGTGGGAATCATCACATTAGAGATGAAAAATGAGTTCAGGTGGAGGAAAAAAGGCTTAATAACATCTTGTAAGAGCATTTTTGAAATGATGAAGTTTGAAATTGAGTTCAGTTCAATTTTTCACTTCAGAAAATAAGCTTTATTATGCTTCAACTAAACTATAAAGGCTACTAGACCTATTTAGGCCTTGTAGCCTGTGCATACATACAGTATGTAGTAGCTATCTATCCAACTCTCCTCTATATGACTTTACATTTCAAGTTGAACCCTTCCTCCTTCCTCTTTATGAATGCAGCTATGAGCTCATTTGACATTTGATGACTGTTGGCAGGATAAAAGCCAGGAATAAGAATCCTTTCACCTTTCACTGTCTCTTCAGTACTTCAACACTTACACTGGGAAATAGTGTGAGAGAAATGTTTACACTCTCAAGAGACTTCTGTCTGAGCACTAGGCTGTATTGATTTATTATTATAGAGCCACATCTTTTACAACACAGCCAAGCATAAATCTCAGACAGTCGCTGCTTTACCGCCGCAAGCTAACCTGATGCACAGGTTTCATGAAGAATGAAAATGATTAGAAGTTAGAAAACGTTTGATCAAGGTTAATAGGGTTGATTCATTTGATAGTCAATCTAAATGAATCCTTTCGGTCCTCCACAGCTGCAGAGTACAGCCAGGAGCTCTATTATTCCCAATAATACCCTCACTCCTGGCTTTACCCATTTATGGACAGCAGGGTTTTTTCTCCTCAAGGTGCCCTCTTGGGATACAGTGTTTTGAATTCCCCTAGTGAGCTGGCTTGGCCCACTCTCTGTCCTGGATTTTGTAAACATTGTGGTTTTTTCCATACAGACTAAAACAAACATCTGACCATCAGTCTAGCTTTGCTGCCTGGGCTTCCTGGCAGACCACTTCATCTCCATCCACTTTGGGCAGAGGAGCCATTGTCGTCGGTCAAGTCTTTTATGTACATAAGTGTCCCATTTCCAACTGAACTTGAGTGAACCCAACAACTGTCATGGTGCAGCACCAGCCTCTTGTAACACCCCACTCAGTCTGCCTGCCTGAAGGTATGAACCTACCTTGAAAATATTACTCACTGTTTGAATGCTGAGAACAAATAAACATGTTCATTTAGCAAAACAGTTACGTGATACAACACCTGCCTTAATCCTGTGGATCAATGTGTATCCATTTAAAATTAAAGTATCACTGTGTCCTACTTATCAAACACGCACAGACACACTCACACACACACATCCATATTCACATTAATGCTTCAGTAACTGATTCATTCCTTTGCCATGTGTGAGAATGTTTTTCATCGGTCAGTTGACTGATAGCGAGTCTTAAAAAATGAAACAATCAAGTGTCCCTCACATCTGGGCTGGATTTCCTACAGCTAGCCAACACCAGATAACGTCAGGTCAATTTGTTTCTATTCCAAAAGCCTGGACTTCATTAAGACCTTGTTTGAAATTTGTATTTAAGAATCCTTGTCCTGATGAAGGATATGAAAAGCAGGCAAAACATGGGAACAGGTTATCTGCTGCTGTCACCTTCTGCCCAACGGGACTGAGCTCTGAGGTGAAAGGGGACATTTTTGAGACCCTGGTATGCATGAGAAATAAACAGGTATTTTTCAGTGACAGAAGAGGTTATTTTACATTTTTAAAGTTTTTTTTAATAGTTAACTTTCTATAAAGGCGTTAAATTGAAGCTGTTTTGTTTTCCATCATATCACCGTACTATATCTGTTTCTAAATGGATTTGCACTGTATTTTGTATATTTCCCAGCTGTGGTTAATAGAAACCATTCATAGTACACAGTGCGGACTAGATGGGGATGGACAGAAAGGTTTGACTGAGTGTTTTGCAAAAACTCCAGTTTGTTGACCTTTCCTTTTGTTTGTACCAATTCTACAATAATATTTAGAGGAGACTTTATGCCGATAATTAATTAGAATGACAACTTGTTGTATTTTCCAGAATACTAAAAGTTTTACTTGCCACACTGCCACACTGGAAAAAGTACATTACAAGTAAAAGTCCTGCATTGAAAATGCGAAACTCATAGGCTAAGTATTATTACCAAAATCTACTTAAAGTATCACAAGTAAAAGTACTCTGTGCAGAAATGTATTACTGAAACAGTTATTTGTACGTGGTGTTGTAGGTGGTTAAGATGGAGCCAGTTATTATGATTTCATACGCTGTTTTATATTTTATCATATGTTGGGGAGGTAAATACATCTTTTATCTGCAATCTAGCTAAAGTTGTTAAATGTGATGGAGTAAAAACTACAATATTTCTCCCTGAACTGTTGTGGAGTAAAAGTATGAAGTGGCATATAATGGAAAAAAACACAAGTAAAGTACTAGTGCTTTAAATTTGTATTTGAATTGTAAATGTACTATCCACCTCTGCTGAAGCTGCAGGATTACTCTCTGTGCACTGCCTCGTTTTACGGGAACCAAAAATAACCTTTACTTTATTATCCTACTAACTGTGTCTTCTTCTCTATAGCAACTGTTTAAGTGTCAGAGCTCACTTTAACATTCACCCAATGAACAATTTGGGTCAAAAGAAATAAACAAAGCTCATTTTAGAGTAAGCCAATGTCAGCACTCATGAACACTGTGTACACTACCTTTCCAATCTCTCTGGCAGATTAAAACTTCTACTTTAGTGGCCGCAGATTCAGATGAGAGCAACATATAAATGGATGTGGAGAGAGAGAGAGAGGACCATTTGACAAGGAGAAATGTAATTTTCCACATTTTTGCAGGATTTGTTTCTGTTTTCTGTCATAACAAATAGATAGCTTTCATCCAGTGTTAGTATTTCATGAAAGACAGCATTAGGGCATCCTATTGAAAATTTAATCACATAATGTTGACATTTAATGAATAATAGTACTTAGATCTTGGATGTAATAAAAATTTGTCTTGTTGTGTAATAGAAGAGCAAATACAATTTCAACCAACACCTCCCAACATTTGTGTGAGCAGGAGCTTTAGTGACACAGATGCCAGGATCAGCGAACGTGATGATTTTCACGGAGGAAAAAATGCTTGTCAATATATTTCCATCACTATACTGCCACCTAGAGACATGTTAAGAAATATCGCAGAATAAACAGAGACTATATTTCTGCAACTGATGAATCCATAAGAAAACTTTGATAAACACTGTGTAATGGTAAGAAATGGAAACGAGACAATATATTGTCACAAAAGGTCTGCAGATCTTTTGGATAAATAAAATGGTATGTTCTTATAAAATTGGTGGTTATGTAATTGGTTATTGGTTGGTTAATTATTTACAACCCTGTATATAAGAGTTTTTCCCATTTTCAGCCATTTTAAAATAGTCTATGACAAGATTAAAAAAAAAAAAAAATTCAAAAACTTTTGCAATAGACCAGCTATTTTTGATAAAAACACAAAATGCAAATTAGGTGTAGTAGTACATGTATCAGCTATGTTTTCTTCGATGTAATTTTCAATTAACAGCGTATTTTGTTGTTTATGACAGTTGTAACAGTGCAGCCATCACATCATTATCACAATCGGAACAATTCATTTTCGCTACTGGACTTAGCTTTCTCGACTCGACTAGAGGACTAATATTAATAACTCGACGTCTGTGATTACATTGTTTGGTCAAAATAATCAAGCGATTAAAGTAACATTTCCACCATTTTCCGTCACGTTTGAGGACTGAAACTGTCCAGCAAAGCCAAAACTCACAAAGAAACGGGGATCATAAATGCCTCCTCTGTGAGTAGCAGGCCACCTCTCTTATATTCACGGAAATGTTGCAGGTAGTGTCTGCAAAAGGTATAATACAGTACAGCTCTTCGTCCTGCAGGCTGTAAATAACACCCCTGTCCGTCGCTCTCCGTCCTCCATGCGTCTGACGCAGTTCGCCAAGCCCCGCCCCCGGCCTGGCTCTCACGCACCACTTACGTCCGACCGTAAAAAATAGAAACTTCCAAGATGGCCGAGTCCGTGGACTCCATGCATTTCGCAGCAAACAGCAAAACAAATTCCCCCAAACCCCTGATAGCCAAGCGGCCGCCGGAGAGCCGACCGCAGTCTTCCAGCGACATTTACCCACCGCCCCCCAAGAAGGTCCGGGTGGAGGAGAAGGGCCTGAAGCACAGGAAACTGAACGGAGAGGTGTGCGCAGGGGAAAAACACAACGGGAAGCAGAGTTGTGGGAGCCCAGCGAAATGGAGTTTCGGCCCGGCCAAGGCGAGCCACTCCGCCGCCGCCGCGGGGCCAGCGACTCCCGCTCGGAAAATCTTCAAAATCAGCAACTTCCTCGCATCGCCTCTCAAAGTGAAGAAGGCGAAAGAGAAACGGCACAAGGAGAAGGAGAAAGGCGGTGAAGCGCAGCGGAGCTCCGCCGCGGGTGTGGAGAGAGTGAGCCCAGCTAGCTGCCATACAAAGACCGAGAACGGCGACGTGAAAATGCTACAGAAAGGTAGGACAGCACAGCCAGCCCGCTCACCCCATGACTGTGTTCAACCAGGTTACCATCTAATTAAAAAGCCTACTACTCCTTATACTGTAATAAAATGATTTATTGAATTATTACATAATTTGCTCTACCGCAGGCCCCAGTATTTATTAGGCCCAGATGGGGATTTATACACGTGGAAATGTTTGTTCATCAGTAATGTCTCTCGACTTGAATATAACAGCATTTCACTTTACCCTGTCTCTTTTTTCTCCTCTACTCTCAGATCATCGTGTGAAGGAGAAAGACAGAGAGAAGAAGAAGAATAAAGAGTGGAAGAATCATAAATTGCCACCTGTACATGACATTGCAAGAGAAAACGGAGAAGTGATTTCTTCACAGAAAGGTAGGAATCAGACATAACATTGATCAGCTGGGGTGAAAAGTGATTTTTCATTATTCTGGGATAACTTTGAATTACATTAGCTTCTTTAAAATGTTTTACCCACATACAGTTTTAGAGGTGTGACTTAGAGATCCAACTTTGCTCTTGTATTAGTAGAAAACATGTCAAATCAGAGCAGATGCATCCAGTTTGATTAAATACCTAATATTAAACAGTATGTCAGAATGTGTGAAGGAAATGTGATGTTTTTTAGAGAGAGAATTTAAAGTTTGTGCAAAGTAGAAATATTAAACACGCATTAATTTACAGGTACATTAAAACATAGCCAAATGTCCTTAATTTTACGCAAAGTTGAAGTTCAGGTGTAACCCCAACTATATTAAATTGTTATTTGAAATCTCCATGTCAGCTACAAGTTATAGGTTTTTAATGATGCACAACATAGTACCTGATCTGTAAAAAAAAAAAAAAATCTTATCCTCTCTCACAGAGTCTAAGGAGAAACCCAAAGCTGGTTCAGAGGAAGACCTCCTGCTGAAGAAACTCAAGAAGAAGAAGAAAAAGAAGCACAAAGATGGGGAGCGGGTGAAGGAGAGGTACAGCCCACCCAAAATGTATCATCGCTCATGCCAGACGGTGTGTTCAGGAGTGTCTCTGGGTCTGCCTGAATTCCTCAGTCGAATTAATGGGAACAACAGCATCGATGGCAGCGGTCTACTCCACACCACCACTGCTCCACAACAACACCATCAGGATCCTCCTGTCACTGCTGCTACCTCCACCTCTATCTCCTCCATGGTCAGGGACAGGCTGGGCTACAACTCCCTGCTCCACTGCACTCCAGCGCCAGGCTTGCCCGGTCTAGAGTTTGGTCATCTGATCCACATCGAGCAGCAGGCCAACGGAGGAGCGTCTGTGGTGCACGCCTACAGTGAGCAGCTCTCCTCTCTGTCTCCGGCTGAGATACAGCGCTTCGCCCAGGAGTTTGTGACCCTCTCATTCAGTGAGGACGAGGCCCAGGCTGCCTGTTTTGTGATGGGTATCATCCATGGAGCAGCGTCCTACCTCCCAGACTTCCTGGACTACTTCTCCTACAAGTTCCCCAACGCACCAGTGAAGATGGAGGTGCTTGGGAAGAAGGACATAGAGACCACAACCATGGTCAACTTCCACTCTCAGGTGAGATTACGGTTTTGTATTGTATGAAGGCTTTGTGTGCTAGAGCGTGCTGAACTATCCACTTTGTTTTTGTGTAGTTTCAGTTTGTTGTCAGGAGGTGTGAGCAGCACAGATTCAACTGTCACAAGCTGAAACTGCACATCAACAGTTTCTTAAAGTTTTAAGGTACATCAGTCTTTATCCAGACTGTTTATGGGTAGATCTGTTCACGCTGCAATGGACCATCTTTACTCCTGTGTTCAAAGTGTTTCAGCATCCAGGTTCTCTTGTGGAGCTGTAAGCCCCAATGGTGTGTGTCACGTCATCTGTTGTCACATATGATTGGTTTCTAGAAAAGCTCGAGTGGCTTGATAGTGACTATGACACTTTCAGTTGGAGTTGTGCTTTCATGTCAGCCTCTGAAGGTTGTCCTGTAGAAAGTTTAATTATATATGAGTTCAAAAATGTTATTGTATGCTTTGTAGAAGTGACAGCAACTGGGTCTGCATTCACAGACAGTTGCTTCCACTTGATTTTTTTTCAGGATTTTTTTTTGTTATCGTTTCTGATTTGTTTTTCTTTTTTATTACTTTCCTTTCATACTGAATAGATAAGAAAATGTCTTTGACCCTCTTTTATTTTCTAATTTGACAAGATATAAAAAGGATTTTGCCATTTACAGATCATAAAATTATATTATGAATACAAGTGAAGACTGCTCAGTCTGAGATAAATAGTGTTTTTATAAAGCATTTATCTTCGATTGTTTGTAGAAATAACCTTTCATAAAATAGTTTAGTTTCAACAGAAACCTCCAGTTTTACATTCAGAGTTAGTGTTTCCCACCTGTGCATGTGTTAGAAATATATTAACATCAACTCTCATAATGAGGCACAAATATCTGTAGAAGTACCAGGACCTTGCTTTTTAAATTATTTATCAATAATTACTGAGCATCTATTTATAACTGCCGTAAACGGCTGCATCCTTACAGTTGCTGCACCTTGCTAGACATGAATAAGAAGTCTTATTCACCTGAGACAGCTGTTTGTTAAATTATATTTTTCAAATTTAAAATAAGGATGTTAACGTTTACTAAAAATCTAATTATGTTCAATTTGAAATTATGAAGCCACAGTGGCGAGTGCTCCTCGAGTTAAGTGAGTGATAGAATCATGACTGCGTTCGCTGTTACACTGACATGATGTGTCAGAATCACAGAGTTTCTACCGGCACTAAGCTTACACGTGGGAGTAATAGCTACATTATTACATGTATTTTATTGCCCAGCTTGGTTCAGTAGCCTGAAATATGCGCTTTTTAATAACACAGCATAGTTTTATCTCAGTGTTTTGTTCCTCCGGGATGTGTGTCCCAGACCCCGGGGGTCTTCAGTTCTCACTTTGAGAATCACCATTTTAGAGCTTCTCAGACAGTGTCTTGTGATGCAGCAGCATGTTTTGACTTTGCTGTTTTTCTTTTTAAACAATTTTTATTAAAGTTTTTGTATGGTAAATAAAGTCAAATACACTTGACCTGACAGCAACAAAATTTATAGATGGTTGTTATCCAGGGCAAATGTTTTCACTGTTTCTCTAATGTTCAAACGTCAAAGGCATTCAGTGGGCTGGAGGTCTGCAGAGACAATGAAGAGGTGTCTAGTCAATCCTTTGAACGTCACCCATTCCAGAGTGGATGAAATATGAATTGGTTTCAAAGTGCAAACTTTTCTTCATCTGTTAAAAGACTTTTCTTGTAGGCTTCTTGGGATTATTTGACCTATGGTGACATTTAGACTTGGGAGTCTTGAAAGAAGTGGTTTGGAAATTACTCTGCCTCAGTAAGGCTCTTCAGACATTATTATGAACAACTGCCTTTTTTCACAGTTAACACCTTGGCAGTAGTCAAGTAAACACTTACAGGGCAATATCAATTGAGTCGGTATCTGGAGTCAAAAGACAAACACAAACTCTTGTTCCCACTGTCGTTATCACATCTCCTACTTGCAGTGTGATGCAGCTCTTAATACAGATCATACAGTTTTTCATATTCATACTCTGTACTGTTTTGCTGGTAATTCATAACTTTTGTTACATAGTAACACTGATTTGCCTGTAGAGTTTTGTTTGTAGTAACATAGTAATACTGTAACATGGATGCACCATTTGGTGCAGTTTGTTTTTGGTCATGGTTTGAAAATTATAACGCAGCTCATACCGTGCACTCATGGGTGGCATCGTCAATTGTACCTCCTGTCATTTTACATGTAAGACATGTCACTATTTTGCTGTGTATGTATACACAGTAGAGTAAAGTTGTAATGTTCGCAATTTGGCTTATTGAATAATATCAAATACAGAAAACTACAGCAATAAACTAGGATGGCACTCAGTAGAGTGCATTTCTCCGCCAAGGCCAAACAATCCTGAGAAATTGGACTGGCACGAAAATGTAATGGTTTCTTCCGTGGTCCATTCCCCATGCCCCCGCCAAGTTTGGTATAAATTGGTTTCAGTACTTTTAACGTAATCCTGCCGACAAACAAACAGACACAGGTGAAAATCATAACCTCCTTGGCAGAGGTAATGAGAACAAAAAATGCATACAAGTACACAGTCAGTGCCACTGTTGTCGTCATCACTAATCTAGAAAAGGCCTCAAGAAGAAGAAAAAGCCAGAGATCGGTGGACACCATGTCACATGCAACTTATGAACCAAATTACATTTTGTTTTAAAAGCCCGTAAATTATGAAGAAAAGGAACTCGTATTTCTTTCAGTGCCACCTCAAGGAAGGTAAAACCTCCGTCAAGAAGGAAACAGATTAAAGTCAATATGCTGAGAGTCTTGTAAGATGACCTCAGCTTTCTGTTTTTAATATGTATATTGCACATATACAGTGTACAATAAAATTAAATTAACACATTTCTGACCAAAAACAGAACATTATAAACTTTGTAAAGGTAGATGTTATAGCAGGGCTGTCGTATTGTGTTGCATTAGATTGTAGAGGTGTACCTAACGACGTGATCATTGAGTGTATATTAATATTGTATATATACGTCATGTTTTTTTTACTACTTAATCAATTTTAAAAATTTTCCAATTTATTCTTATGAGTTATATCTTAATACCACGTAATTAGAGGTACAAGTGGTGGACACAAGCTCAAGTCATTGCCTTCACTTACACACAATAAAGGTACATCTTCAGAACAGTACATTACATTATTACAATATAACACATAATGTGCAGACGTCCGCCAAGGCCACCAGATCGGATTATTATCTGGATCTATACCACATTGTACAAACTCATAGATGTCAACGCCATAAATATGTTAGATCTGTATATTATTTCCGGAGTGTGAGGAAAGTAAGGAAAGTGATTAAAAAAATTCATGGATCAGCCTATTTGACCAGATTGGCACCTAAATTTAACGGGTTCTTCTCTGGCCCTTGTCCCATACATCCCCCAAGTTTGGTGCAAATCAGTGCAGCACTTCTTGTGTAGTCCTGCTGATAAACAAACAAACCAACAAACAGACGGGTGAAAATGTAACCCTCTTGGCACAGTTAACTAAATGTTCAAAATGATCATAGAGGTCCCCAGAGAATCCCCTTCACAATGTTGAAGTGGACACATTCACTCAGCTGAACCCTTGATGATTGTTTTCTAGATTTGACAGTATAATCCACAATAACTGAAAATTTCAGTTGGTTTTTCACTAATTTCTCTGCAAGACAGTCTTTCATTCCTCAGAGTGACGGTAGCTGGTGTTGTTGACTGCTGTGTTGAGATTTGCCTCCCATGATGACTACTACTCTACTTACGACCTAAATCTTAGTATTTAAGGCTCTGTTAATGCTGATGGTACTCTTAATGAGTGCTTTATTTAAGGTTGGTGCACACTAATGTTATGTGTTATGTAAGAGTTTTGAGTGGCAGTAGACTACATGTTGTTTTTGTTGTAGATTTATTATAGTTAGATTTATTGATACCTGTTGGATGAGAGTCTAATGTGTTTCCTCTGCGGTCCCCTGCTGCAGGTGAAGCGGACATATTCCCAGGGAACATACCGTGCTGGGGCCATGCGGCAGGTCAGTCTGGTCGGGGCTGTAGATGAAGAGGTCGGAGACTATTTCCCAGAGTTCATCAGCATGTTACAGGAATCTCCTTTCCTGGAGGTTAGTGTTTTTATCATGTTTGTGTAAGTATTCACCCCTACAGCCGGAGGATGTGTGAACATCTGCCTTACTTTTCCCTGTGTATGGCTGTGAGTCATTATGTAACTTGAAGTTTCTCACCCTGTGTTTTTGCAGCGGACTCTTCCCTGGGGAACGTTTTCCAGTCTGCGGCTGCAGAGCCCCACTGAGAGTGACGACGGCCCCATCATGTGGGTCAGACCTGGAGAACAGATGATCCCTTTGGCGGACATGCCAAAGTCACCCTTCAAAAGGAAAAGGTGTGTGTAGATATTTAGTCTGTAAATGTGTACCAGTGCACAGGTGTTCTCGTCTCACCAGCTTCTTCAATTAGTTTCAAGTAGAGCTGACATAGCAAAACCACATCTTTAGTAAACATTTTATCTCTTACCTGCACATGCTATGTACATGTACTTTATCATGCCTTGAACTTGTACTGACTGTTGTAAATAAATATATTTTAGGTCCACCAATGAGATAAAGAACCTGCAGTATCTACCCAGAGCCAGTGAGCCCCGGGAGATGCTGTTTGAGGACCGGACAAGAGCCCATGCTGATCATATTGGTCAGGGGTTCGAGAGACAGACTACTGCTGCTGTAGGGGTGCTGAAGGCTGTACGCTGCGGAGAAGAGTGAGTACACAGTGGGGTCTTTTTCACTCACTCACACACTTTTGCATAAAATATAACCTGACTTCTGTGTTACCCAGAACACACTGGTAAAGCAATAACAAAGCAATAAAAACAAATGTCTGAGAAACACAGTTTGTGTTGCTGGTTGTTTGTTGTGTTCAGATTTTAACTCAGACCAATGAAACAGGACTTTGTTTATGCCATTACAGCAGTGACGCTCCTGCCCGGATCACCAAAGATGTTGTGTGTTTCCACGCTGGAGATTTCCCAGATGTGGTCATGAGACTACAGCTGGACCTCCATGAACCCCCGCTGTCTCAGGTGGATCAGATGCAGCTGTTTTTAAGTTAAAAAGCACAGATAAACCCAAAGTTAGATTGTGATCATAGTGCAGCAATTAGCAGCTAAAAAGAGAGATATCCCTGACAGGAGCGAAATATTGGCCTTACAGTCGCCATGTGACCAGAAATACTACAAATGTTGCTCCATGTTTGCTGCATCTGTAAAGTCAACTTTATACTAATGTTTGTCATTTTTAATATGTCAGTGTTGTGCTTATAGCTTGTTGCATAGTCCCCAAGTGGCCAATAAAACAAGTAATGCAGCTTTAAATGCAAAAGAAAAGCCAGAGCTTTTCTCTGACATGCCACATACTATATTCTCTGGGTAATGTATTTGGAGGAGAGGAATTCTCCAGTATAATACTGTTAGGCCGTGAAGTACATTAGTTGTTCTTTTCTTCTACCATGCAATAATTAAAATATTTCCACATTTGCTCATTTGATTGTGGAATTACTGAATCTCATGTTTTCCTGTCACTGCCCCCACAGTGTGTACAGTGGATCGATGATGCCAAGCTGAACCAGCTACGGAGGGAGGGGATCCGATACGCCCGTATCCAGCTCTACCACGATGACATCTACTTCATCCCCAGAGGAGTTGTCCACCAGTTCAAGACTGTGTCTGCTGTCTGCAGTCTGGCTTGGCACATCCGACTCAAACAGTATCACCAACATGAAGAGAAGGAAGAGGAGGAGGAGGAGGAGGAGGAAGACGTGAAGGGAGAGAAGTGTACACATACAGAAGTCACACTTCATGTCAAAGAGGAGCAGGAAGACGAGGAGGTAGAAAGGAAGGAGTGTCACCCTGCTGTACATACAGTGACGAAGCTGGAGGAAGAGGACAACGAGGGAGGGGAGGGGCCGCTCTCACAAACTCCGACACAGATTTTCAAGGAGGAAGCGCAAGAGAACAGAGTCGACATGAAGGAGTTGTCAACAGCACATTCTGTACCTTTTGTCAAGAAGGAGAGAGACGAAGGTCTACTCGCCCATACACTAATGGAACCCAAAGCCGAGGAAGATGAGAAAGAGGAAGGTAAGGGAGCGGGAGATAGAGGTGCAGACACATGCCAGACACTGCAGAAGGGCCATGAGGAGGGTGAAGTGGATAGTGCATCCTTTAAGACACTACAGCACATTAGGAAGGAGAATGATGTGGAGGAAGAGAGGCAGCAAAAGACGACTCTGCCAGGTCAAGGTCTAAAAGAGAAAACTAAAGATAGTATAACAACCACTTATAACCCACCACCAATCAAAAAGGATAAGGACAAAGGAAAAAGAGAAAAAGATGAAAGAGAAAGGCCTAAGGACAAGAAGGACAAGGATAGGAGTAAAGAGAAGGAGAGGGATAAAAAGGAAAGGGGGAAAGAAAAGGATAGAGAGAAGGACAGGATGAGAGAGCAGGAGAAAGTTAAGGGCGAGGGAGGAAGAGAGGGTAGTACATCGATGCAGCCTTTGCCACAGATAAGGAAAAAAGAGGACGAGGAGCGGACAAGAGAGGGCAGTACAGCCTCTCAAACTTCCCTGCCTGCTCAGAGAGATGAGAAGTGGGCCAAGGAGTGGGACTCAAAGACACAACCCCATGTCAAGAGAGAGAGGGAGCATGATAAAGACAGGGGAGGCACACAGGCAGCATCTCACTTGCGGCCAGACAAAGAGGAGGCTCGAGATGCCTGCTCGCATAAACACAAGTCTTCACATGGGAAGAAGGAGAAGAGCGGCAACAGGGAGGGGAAAGAGAGCAACACGTCAAGTACGCAGGGAGTGCAGGCAAAGTCAGGGAGAGAGGACGGGAAGACGGGCACCCCCAAACCTTCGAACATTCAGGTTAAGAAAGACGGGAAGAAGGATAAGGACGTCAGCAGTAAGGACGAAAGGAAGAAGTCTTCTTCTGGTCCTACACCACCAGAACACAAGCCACCACGGACACTCATCACCTTTGACCTCTTTAAGCCGATGGAGGCTCACCAAACTCTCGCCCTTTCCTTCACAGACAGTAGACCTAAGACCCACCAACACAGTGACTCTCGAGGTTCTTCCTCTAAGCCTGGATCTGACAGTCGGACAGTTGTGCCCTCTAAAGGACCAAAAGTAAAGGACTCAGTGCAGGGAAAACCTGCCACACCCCTACAGGACACTCGGCCCCAGCAGCACTCGTTAAAACAGCCCTTGAAAACACACACACCCCAAACACAGAAGGACTTCTTACTATGAATGTCTTGATGTCTAGTCTTCTTTTTTTACTGTACAACTTACGCCAAGGCTTTGTTGAAATATTTGAAAATGCATCCTTCCTTCAGACATGAACTGTTCTTTCTAATTTGTAATAGATGAGCGGGTGCATTCCATTACTTTGCAGACACAGCCGCATTACTCGAGTGAAATAATGAAACGAGGATGCACTCTCCAAGTATTTTAACAGTGCCTAAGAATGTAAGCTAAGTAGCTCACTTCACGTTTGTTAGCGATTGTATGTAGGCTCTATACAAAATGTTATGTGACCCGTGTGTCAGTGCCTGTGCACTACTTAGCTTCGCTCTTAAAGCACCTATTTTAGGTACTGGACTAGCCAATCTGAAAACAACCATCCTTACTCCCTGCTGTAGGAATGACCAACATTCACTGTTTGGAACATGTCAGCAAGTCACAGAGCTCCTGCTGAAATCCTCTCATTGCCATGTTGCTTTAGTCGATGGGGTTTGTTGATTTATAACACTCCAAATTCGGAGCAAGTAGTTGTTTTCAGACTGGACTTTGTTTGACTCACACAGGGCTGTAAATGATACTGTATGTACCAAAACTGTACAGTATAGATGTTATTAGCACCAATGTGAGAAAATGTATACAGAAATTGCATATATTTTTTGTAAGACAAGTTTTATTTTCCATAGAACTTATTTATATCATTTACTGTCTGTTTTTATTTGAAACCAATGTATGTGAAAATTTTGTTGTAAATACATTTTATTTCCTAAGATAAGACTTGGTAGTGTGATTTATACTCTGATCAGAACCTCTCAATAAATGGTTCAAAATATTGACTTAGTCGATGTTAATGTCTCTCCTGCATTTCATACCATCAAGCCTTCAATAGTTGTCTTTTCAGTTACTTCAGCAGCTTGGGTTTAGAGATGACAATGTTGGTCCAACACTGAAAACTTCAGGATTGATTGCCTTGTCTTTGATTACCACTCCATCACTTCAGTCCAAGACAAGATATCTGTAGATGTTCCCAGATATCTGATGCTTAGATTACTAATGTGCTAAATATCACTGTTAACTTGCTGACTGCAAGCAAGTTAAAATGGCCATGGTAGCATGTCATGCTGGAATATGCCTTTCACATCAGATTATTTTGACTTGTCGTAGAGGTAAAGCGCAGGTTTTACTAATAACAGGCCAACCACAGCTAAATAGTACAGTGAAAATAGGTTGCACTTATTGTAAGTCATTGGAAAAAAAGTGTCTGCCATATTAATAAAGAATGAAGTGCAGCTCAAGCTTAACAGATGTTGAGGCATGACAAAGCACAGTTTACAATGATGACACTTGAATCTGACAGTGTTGAGCTGTGTTTAACAAGGTGAGTCTGATGTCCTAAAATTGCCACAGTTCAGAGGATAAACCCTGTTGATTTAGGGAACAGCATGGCCTTTTCATCCAGGAGAATTATGTATATAGTTTGCATTCACAAGGATGTAATCTTTTTTTTTTTTTTACATGAAAATTTGTCTTTGAACAATGCAAAGGACATTTTTAATCCATTCAGTTAAAGAAAGTTCTGAATTCACATTCAAATTGTGTCAACAGAGGGACATCCTGGGATGGGTACTGAGCAGAAATATAGAAGTGAGATTGCTTACTGCATTACAGAAATGCTCAAATAGTGATATACTGTGCAACAGTGATTCCACAAACAGGTATATGGTGTGCATGCTAGTGCAGATCTCATACTGTAAATACACTGCTAGTGTCAGTGTCACACAGACACCACATTGGACACTGCATGTGTGTGTACATACAGGGTGTGTGCTCTCTCCGTAGAAGTGAAGAGGTGACATGTAAACCAACATTTAATGAAGCGTAAAACCGGTCATCATTTCTTTTTCTACTGTTACCCAAAATCAAGCCAGAAGGCAATAATGTGAATGCCAAAACAATGTACTGCATTTCTCATATTTAAAACCTGTTTCCCACACTGTGTAGAACTCACTGGGGCCTGCTTTGTTGGCAACCTTCTGAAGCTTATAACAGAAAAGGTGAATTTCATAATGACATCGACAAAGAAACAGTGTTTAATGTGGATCAGTCATGTATGGCTGATACACAGTCTGCTTAATAAGGTCAGTGTCATTTCTGATACCAATCCAGTGGATCAGATCGGTGAATTCATAGCTAGAGATGCTTCAGTATAAAAAGTTTTTGTCCTGATTTGGCCCTTTCTGGTTCAGTCCCTCCTGTAGTGGAAAACACTGTGTCCCAGCTCCACCAGCGCCCCACCCAGCAGCACCCACAGAGGGACACACACCACGCTGACCCACATGTTGGTGAACCTCTCCAGGCGGGAGCACAGTGTCAGACAGAAGGCCAGCTTCAGCAGCAGGGCTGTCAGATACCACAGCCTCCTCTTTAGGCTCTGCTCGCCGTCCCTGGGGTCAAAGTCTGGCTTGCAGCGCCCTGCCATCTTCACTATCAGCATGAGGATTAGGATGGTGTCAAAGGTCCAGACAGGGAGGAAGATGAGGAACCAGTTCCAGTGGATCTTGGAGTCCAGTTTGAGGACCAGCATGATGAGGAAGATTAGGGCAAAGATCCAGGAAAGGAGCACTCGCTGGGCCAGGGACATCTTCATCTACAGAGGACTGGCACAGAGCCAGTATCATCCACACCCAGAGAGACTGAGGAGAGGACTGAGGACCACAGCGAAGGTGACTGACACACACACACACACACTCACTCACACACACTCACACAGTGATCTGAAACACCAAAAAATAACTCATTATTCTCTGATGGATGTGATGCGCCATTAATGAACACATGACAGAAAATAAGAATCAACTCTGATCATACATCAAGACTCCTACCACCGGTGTTTATGCTTTTCATAACTAGCGTCGATGAATTCTATTTCCATTTGCCATTAGTGCAGACCTGAAGCTACTGTCTGTTAGCAAGCTGAAGCTAACTTATGAAACCCAAATGAAAACATTGTTGAAAGATGCCTTACCACGTTCCCCAGGAGAGTCAACCTGTTTTCTTAAAACAGAAGTTTGAAAGACAAACTCTTCACCAACAACACCAATGTCGACACATTAATACAAACAGTTTAGTTTTCACGGCGAGGAGTACAGTTTTGTTAGCTTTAGCTCACAGCTTTAGCTGCAGTAACAGCAAGGATTCCGGTAGGGATTTTCAAAACAAAAGCATGTCTTTAATCGACAGTCATATTTTATTTTGATAGATGACCGCAATGAGTCCGGTACATTTCAAAACAAAAGCAGGATTCTCTCACTTGACGTCTTTTATTTTGATAGATAACTGCAGGACTGTAGCTGCTATTGAGGACACTGTGTTCGGTTAGAGAACTCAAGGATCACTTATTTGATTTTTCCTCATGACAACTGAACAACTCCAAGATGCGGCTGAAAGTTCTGGTAGAAAATCTAATATGTCTATAATATGAGAGTTTTCGTTTCTGAATGAAAAGCTTACGCATGATGTTTATTTTAATATTAATAATTTAACATTTAAATATTAAATATTTAATAGTCTTCATGTTGTATGGTCAAAATTGTGTGGGGTGGGATGTACACCCCCATTGTTGAGGACTCAATATAAATCAGGGCAAATATTCTATGTCCAACAAACCAATTATTTACAGTAGAAGGAGATAACCCACATTTTTAAAGATTTCTCAAATTTATTTATTTTTACTGGGCTAGTATAACAAATTAATACAAATTAATACAAAGTACAACTCCGTAGACGTCATAGATTGTCAAAAAAAGTAAAGTACAAAACGCTTGAGGTAAAACATCATAAAAAGATTCAGTTAAAAAGCCCTTATTAAAATCTCAATTCATTTCAAGTTAAAAGCTCACTTGACACTAACTAGCTGTCCTAAAAACCAACAATTCACTTTTATTTACAAGGTAGTGGTGGTGCAAAATACAGTGTGTGAGACAACATTCAGTCAAAATATTCATGTCTTTGTCAAATGTAAACAATAAACATCGGCGTATTTCTCAACCTCCTGCTGTACAAAGCGAATACAGAAAAGCAAATGCTGTCACACTGATGTTTGCTCTAAGAGAAATTTGCATTAGACCTCTATGATCGCCGCTGTCATTAAAAACAATTCAACAGTCCACATTTTCATAAGATGACATACAAAAGTGAGAGCAGAAGACCTCATTACTGTGTTACTGCCAACCAGCAAACAACAGAGCATAAACAGAGAATGTAAAACTTTTGTGAAGTTAAAAATGCTCAAATATAAAACAAACCGATGATAATTACGTTAAGTTTCAGACATTTTTCCATTTAAATGGCAGCTGTAACAGCCATCTGTTGTGTGAAAACCTTGTAACTCCAATTTTGGTGTTTTTTGTGATTTTAACTTCAGTTAAAGGATTGTGTGCCTTTCTATGGGTAACAGGATAAGGCTAATGACATGCTATATTTTTGCCATTGTCACCAAATCCCATGAAAAGACCAAAACCAACAATGGATTAGTCTCTCATTACTTACCCAGTCTATCTGTGGCTCTCAACCTCAAGCCCATCAAATCTTTAAGAACAGATCACAAATATATAGATCTGTTTTTTTTAAAGGCTAAGTTACTAAAAGCACTGGACACCACAGTTTTTACCAAACATAGCTCAAACAAGAGTAAATAATGCATTCGTTGGTAACTATTTTCAGATATGGATTAATACACAGCAGCAGGAGGGTATATGTTGTATTGACTCAAAGTAAACTACAGTACCCATGTTTGTGGTAATGAAAGAAAATGTGAGCCAGTGTAATGGTATTGCTCATTAATGTCTTTTTAAATCATTTTCTGTGTTTGTAGGGACGAGTGTTTTTCGTACTTTTTAGAACGTTGACATTTTACAGTTACAAGGTTTTCACTCACCAGTGAAAGCACTTGGAATGGAGTCGTCATGGAAACTCATCGTACTACAGTAAGAGAGGAAGATGGTACCCATTTAATGAAATGTAGTTTTACGATTTCTTTAATCTTTGTCCAAGATCACTGACGTACACGTTTGGTGGTGTGTGTTCCTAAAGGCAACCACAGCTACACAGTGCTCTGCCTGCTTTCGCGGCTGTACCCCATAGCCTCTGACGAGTGAGAAGGGAAATCAATAAATATCCCATCTGAGTCTGAGTCTGCAGACTCTAGCACTTGTCCAATTATGGTTTCAGGGCTGGATGATTCACTGGGCGGCGTGGAGGATGCACCCTTACTGAGATCAGTCATTGTTGTTGTGGCCTCAGTGCCGTGCAGAGCTCCTGAGGAATGAAGGGGATGGATGGATGCAGACGTAAGAGGCAAGTCCATGGCACTGGCTCCTGCTTGTACAATACCTGCGATTGACAAAGTGCTGGATTATTATGGATTATCACATTATGATTTTAGTTTTTTCATAATAACCAACATAATGATGGATACAGACATCTTAATTTTTTGTCATACCATTGAACTGAGAACCCACACACAGCCTGTTGGAGGAGGAGCCAGACAGTTCAGATCCTGGGGCCAGGTCAGCGAAGGCCAGTCCCTGTTCCTCCAAGCATGATATTATCTCACAGGCGGAGTGGCGTCGAATTCCTCCACTGCCAACAGAGCTGGCATCTGGGTCATACTCAGCCACCGGGGTCAGCAGCAGAGGGATGTTGTAGCTCTTTGATCGTACCACGGGGTTTTTAGACGGTTGATCTGCAGACTTGGACCAGCCCCACGGTAAACGCTTCTCTGAAAGACATGAGGAAAAGAAGGGAGGGTGCTGGTTAAGAAACGTTTCTCGTCAGACACTACATTACTACATTACAGTTCCCCTTTTTTGGGTTTTTGTAAACACTGTCTCACCCAGAACACAGCAATTGGCGTCAGCACTGTCTCCAGAGTAAAGCCCGTGGGTGCCCAGGTACGGTGAGACCACCTTCTGAACCAGAGATTCCAGCCTCAGGTAGTCCTCATTCACACCACGTGGCTCATGGACCCCCTATAAACAAACACAGACAGGCATCTGAGTGTGAACTTAAGCTGTTCCTTAGTGTATAAGTCCAAAATTGATTAATGGTGATTTTAATATTTAGAGTAAATTATTAGTAAAAAATTACCAAGCATTTTATGGTTGCAGCTTCTCAAATGTGGTGCATTTCTTTATCTGGAATAAGTGTGAATTGAATAACTTTTGTTTTTATGACTGTAGATTGGACACCAAGCATCAATAAAAACAATTAAATGGTAAAAGGAATGGGAATAAACAATTATAATTAAATTAAAATTAAAGGTTACTCTGGGCTATGAATCAGCTTTTTTGGGGGGTGTTTTTATGCCATTCAGTCTAATGTGTGTATACTCATGTCTGGATACGAAATAGTACATTTGAGCCGGACAGAAGATGAAAAACAGCAGGTGTTTATTATCTGTGATAGTGGCTTACCCTTCTGTGCTTGGAAGTAGTCACAAATTAACATGTGCAAAGCTCAAAAATGTAATTTAGTGCTAATTTGCCTCATTAAGATCAGAAATAACCAAAAAGTAAGTAAGGAAACAAGCAGTAACATTTGGCTTGGTGCCTGCAGGCCTACCTGTAGAATAAGCAGCATCTGTGTAACAGAGGGGGGCACACGAGCCCGAGGTCGAGAAAGGGCATCCTCTAACTTTACACTCAAGACTATGGTGTTCCTGAAGTGAAGCAGAGCCAGCTGTCGGACAGAGGGCTCCTTACCCTGCACACAGGAAGGACATAGAAAACAGCAGAACTGTTTGAAATTCATCCTTTGGGCAGCAAACACAAAAATAAGCAGACTCTTATGAAGGTCATGTACCTGAACAGGATGAAAGATGGCCTGCAGCATGGAGAGGACATCACAGAAGAAGAAGTCCCACGTCTCTGCCAGAGAGTCGAGTAACTTCTGACCTGCATCGATCACACAGGAACAAACCAAAAAGACAGCTGATTAAAGCTCAATTCACTTGCACTACAATATATTTCCAGACTATGTATCAGAGCAGTCGTACCTTCGTAGAACCTTATTTTGTCTCGGAGGATGACCATGCCTTTTGTCAACAACTGGTTCTGTGAAAAGAAGACAATAATTATGAACATCTGAAAACTTAATGTGTTCACCATGTTCTCTAGAACGAATATTTCGTTTGTCTGAATAATGTTTTCTGCTGCCAATCCAGATCCAATTTCATTTAATATCAAAGATGTGTTACCTGAAGGTATTCTGTGAAGAAGGACCCCAACTCAGTCTTCAACAGATGTCTGAGAAAACAAATATTTGACATTTGCTTCACTTCAGAATTCAAAATGAACAGAAATATACAGTATATTGGAGAGTGTTCAATCATTGTCAGTTAGTAAATGTGTATGTATGTGTTTAAAACCTGCAGTTTATTACTCAAGTACACAGAACGAATGACGGAAACCAATCTACTAAACACCCTGTTTTCCTGCATTATAATCCAGAGTTTCCTGTGTCATTAAACAAAAGTGTGTGAACCTCCTTGTGGCTTTTCTGTACATGGAGATGTGTTTACTGAGCTATAATGGAGGTTGATGTGAGAGGAGGGACGGATCTGGTTTGGTAAGATAATGAGATATCTGGCATGACCACATGACTCCCCAGGCCCACATACTGTACATACACACACAACAACCTCATTCACAAGAACACATTCAGTCAGCATACACAGGACAGACAGTAGACTAATTATACTGATTATAGCACAAAATTACATCAACAGTCTCAAATAAAGGTACGTTTTTCTCAGTACTGTGTTTGTGTGTGACCAAACTCACCGGACACCTTCATTGAGGACGTAGAGTTCATTATCTGCCAAACCTTTCTTCTGGAAGACTGCTATGACAGCGTTGTGGATGCTGCAACATAAGACACACACATAAAACCGATCTACATTTCTGTCCCAGACGCATTTAAACACTACATTTTTTGCACCTTATTTGGTGTACCTGTTCCAGGTGGCGTTGGCTCCTGCCCTCTTCTGCTTCTCCCCTCTGTCCTCTGGTGAACTTTTCTCACTCTTCCCCAGCTCGCTGAGGCTGGGGGAGCTCATCAACTTCAGCCGGTGCAGAGTCCTCATGAGGGAGATAGAAAGGAAGTGGCGAGAAATAAGAGTATGCACTCAGTGCTGGACAGGAGTGAAAGAAGGGCAGGCGATGAGCTGACACACAGATACAGAGAAGAAACACGAGGAGATGGCTGGAGGGGAGAGGAGAACATAAGCAGAGTGAGTCTGAAAGAGAGACAGAGTATACAGAGGGAAAAAGCACAATGACAATACAAAGAGCGGCTGGCGACAGAGGAGGAGAGAAGTAGGACAGGATGATGCATGGTGAGAGAGGGGTAGCACGTTAAGAGCAGGATGGGTGGAGCCAAGCCGAGAGGTGGGCCACAGTGTCACCGCACTGCCCCTCTCAGAAGAGAAGAAAACAATAGCACATGCAACGATGGGGGCATACTCTTCCTCCCTCTCTGCCTCTCTGTCAGTACAATACAGCCATTGATGCAAACAAATATTTATGCAGAGCACAGATGCCAGAGGAACTGCAGGGTAAGCAGACCGAAGCAGTTGGGACTTTGTCACTGTACAGAGGGGAGGTGGAGAGGGGGAGATGGAGGAGGAAGTGGTCCGGCTTATTAACAACAACAAAAACAGGGATAGGAAGCAGTGACACAATACAGGACAGTAGAGAAGGTCTTCCTGCTCTCCCATGTTCAACACAGCTGGAGCAGGACGACAATAGTAAAAAACTGTGTAATACATGAAACTAGAGCCCGACTGATACTGGATTTTTAATGCTGATTATGAGGACCCATTAATGTCCAGCTTCTCCTCTTTTATGTCCCCTGAAACAACTTCTCATGAAAACTATGATGTTGACACTGAATGAAATAGTCAAACTTGTTTAACAAGTTGTTAAGGCAGCACCATCCCATCGAAAGTAAAATTTCTGGACGTCTTGTTCACTTATTTTTATTCTCTTTCTTACTGATTGATACCACTCACATGTCTGTACAGTTAATATGAAGCTAGAGCCAGCAGCTATTTAGCTTAGCTTACCTTAGCATGAAGACTGGAAACAGAGGGAAACAACTAGCCTGTCTCTGTCCACAGTTAACAAAATCCACCTAACAACATCTCTAAAATTGATTAATTAACTTCTTTTACCTTGTTTGTTTAATCCATACAAAAACCAAAACAGTCTGGCACATAACTCCCATAAAACCACAACAGGGTGTTTTTTACTTCGGCTTTTGTATGAACTAAACAAATGAGTTAATTAATGAGCTTTAGAGGTGCTGGTTGACAGTTTTTGTTACCTTTGGACAGAGGCAGGTTAGCTGTTTCCTCCTTTTTCCACTCTTTATTCTAAGCTAAGCTAATCAACTGCTGGCTCTAGCTTCCTATTAGCATACACACATGAGAGCGGTATCAATCTTCTCATCTAATTCTTGGCAATTTCCCAAACTATTCACAAAATGTGTTTTTGAGTGTAAAACTAAACTTGTAAGGGCTCTGGTAGACAAACTGTAAAAGACATACTGTTTGTAAATGACCTCAGCCACCTCTTTGGCATTTCTGTACTCTATTTTCAGGAGGGACTGGTGGAAACTAACTGAAGAAAAAGAGGAATGATGAATTCAAACCCACACAGTCCAGAAACTCTCTGCTGACAGCATGGCAGTAAACGACAGACGACCCCCCCCCACACACACACACACACACGCACACACACAAACACACACCCACGATCATACAAGCTCAAAAAACATGGAAAGCAAGTGTACAGATCGATGAGATGTACACACATAAGGAAATGAGTCAATCAAACATCCCCCCAGGAGATCATTATCATCAAGTCAACATGTGTTGCAGGTAAAGCTCTGACAGTTAATGAAATCTTCTGGGACGAGAGATGGTGGGATTTTTATGAATGCTAATGAATAGTTCATGCATCTTCCAGGAAGCTGTACGTTGAGAAATGTTAATCCCAGGAACTGAGCCTTACCTCCTGATTGGATGCTCACTACTGCTGTCCATGTCCGGGCTCGGGGGAGGGGCGGAGAAGGTGCTGAAGTTGAGGGACAGGGGTCGGGGGGAGGGCCGGGAGGCATGCCTCCGCCTGAGTCCATCAAGCATCTGAACATATGAGGGGGAAATGATGGAGAAATTGATATTAAGGTTTGCATAACAGTAGAAATGTCAACAAAGGCAAACAGAGCCTACAGGAGAGATCACATTTTTCATGGGCGCGTGAGGCATCAGAAAAAAATGTCTGAGGCCCTGACACAGTCATGATCCTTCAGCTACCTTTTACTTTGAGACAATGACTGAAATAAGAAACATTAACGCACAAAAGTAAGTAAAACTTACCATCGAAGGGCCACAGGAGAAAACCAAACCACACATTTGTGATCTCCTCAAAAGAGTTATAGTGTGTAAGCAGACGGCTGCCTTCTGTTTCCTTATTCTGTCAGTGAATGTTATTTCAACACTATGGATGAGTGTTTTGCAATCGGAGCTAAACCTACTCTGCAACTTTAACACAATCACACAATTACATCAGAGGAAAAAAAAGGGAAATGCATGTGTGTGCATGTACAGTATGAGTGTGTGGATTATTCCTGTAAAAGCCACGTAGCCACAGTCCTCTCTCTTGGAGTATGACATTACAGTATTATAGTCTATTTGGGTGTCTCCCCACAGAAACACTCTGTACATAGTGAAGCACCATCCCCTGGTCAGAGGGGAGAACAACAGTCTGGGCTGTCACTCTCCAGACAAAGACACAACACAAGCCTCCTTCTCTGACACCCTGCATGCAAGTGATAAATAGGTGATTCGTGTGTTTTCTGATGGACTGATCTGCAGTTTTCATTGGAGTAACATCTCAGTCAGGGACACACAGACAGGTTACACACTGTATACCCGACATGCCATGCCACGCCAGTCTGGGCATTTCTGCTTTTGTTCACCCCTCCTCCTTGTCTTTTAGGGGCGACTACAGTCATATTGGTGCCACTTTTGATTTCTATTAGTCTCTATTGCTTTCCTGGCCCACTGATATACCCCGACATGTTTATTCGACATTAGATAGCCAATCAATCGGCTAGACATGCAATCAACAGTCCACGTTTATCGCACAGGGAGGAATGTACAGCCAGTCGTGCGTACGTGGAGGTTTTTCTATTTTTTTTTTTTTTTTTTACTTGTGTGGACGAGAGGATGAGGCAAAGTGTCACTGTAAACAGCGTGGATGTCTTCTGAACACACAGACTGGCGCAGATGCATCATTAAGTCCACCTTTGGATAAAAACTGTATCATAATGGCTACAAAGTTGCCGTATGTCATGCGCCTCTGCCCGCCCACTGTAGCCTGCACTCACCGTTGCTTATCCTGTCGTGTTGTTCCTGTTGGGATGAAACGGTCATGTAGTACCGATGGGAAGTATTTACTGTCCAGGCTCATCAGCTGGACTGCTCCCCGCCAGTCTGCGCACCCACACGGGCATCAGGGTGCAGGCGGATGAAGGGTCCGACCTGCGGCGCGGTGGAGGGGGACTCATTCATGAAGCATGCACTGCCGCTCGCTCGCTCTCTCTCTCTCTCTGGCTCGCCCCCGCTTTGTGTTGACGAGATGCAAAGCGAACCTGGACTCACGGACGCGGCCACGAGCAGCAACGTGGACGCGCATTGTGGTTCTAGCCGTATGCAAAACAGGGGAATCACTGGGGTTCAAGAAAAAAACATAAAAGCATGGGTTTGACGAGCTGTGAACAATTTTCACTTTATTCCTCAAGAATTTAAACGCAGACTCGTGTAGGAGACGTAGACATAGAGGCATATAGGCCTACTACACAGGCTCTTAACCTCCAAAACATCAACATCTTCCAAAACAAACAAAGCAAGAGCTATAGGCTAGGCCCACTGTATTTGCATCATAGCACAGCAGTACACGCAGCTGCATAGACGCTGGGACTGAGACCTGCATGTGCCATGTTGCTTTGAACAGTATAATCGGAATACGAGGCAGTAAGTGCATAGTATCCAGCACTGACCCCAATCTATGCAGTTTAACACGCTGGGTGTTTCGCCATCTGTCAGTGCAGGCGCTGGTATTTTGCAGATAATCCTCTATTTCCACGGGTCGTGATGTAATTAAGTGAGTCTCGTGAGCAACAAAATTAAAGCTATTATTTAAAAACAACTCAAGCAAGCTGGTAATTTCAGTTGCATGCTTAAAGAATAAGAATGCGATTTTCTTGTTATTGCTTTACTGTTATGCAAATAAGACTCAATGACAAGAAACAAATCATCAGACTACTATGCATGTTGTGACAGTTAATCTTCTCATGCAGTAAAACGCGCCTATTGGATCATTAACATTAACATTAACTAACTTCACTCCGGATTAGTCTGTTGTCATTTTTTATGTTCAGATAATTAATTGTATATTCAGAGTGAAAAAGGAGGTCTACAATGGAAGTCAAATATCAAAATTAAGAATAGACAAATTGAATGAACATTTACTTTCTACGTCTATTCTCCAAAATAGCAATAACAACTAAATTAACAGGAGACAGTGTCTTTAGTATTTACAGCCATTCTCAAGCAAGTAAGAGTGGAGGAGGAAAATGTGGCCTTTATATCTTTATATTTTCTTTTTATAATCCATAAATATTTTTTTTTAGCTAGAACTAAAATAACCTTCATTGCAACCCTCTGTAAAGCTGTTTGTAGAGGAGAAAATGCAAGTATGTATTTTATTCCATTCTTTTAAACTCTAATTTAAGTTGATTGAAAATGATTAGCTAATATGATAAGATTAATCAATCAATCAAAAATAAAATAGAAATACATTCTGAACATATTTGCTACTCTGACCTGGACTGGCCTCAGACCAGTAACAGAGTAACGTTTCTATGGTAACAGCAAAATCTGTGGTGTGGCACTGTATTTGATCTCGTGGAGGTAAAGGGACAAAAGTCGTATCAACGAAACTGAGTCCGACTGACTGATTCATAACATAACGATTTACAAAGTCGGTTCCATGTCTTAAAATCATACGACCATAGTCTTTGCTAATTCGCTAAATTGTATTGGCTACAGATGAAATGCCCTATGCCAACGAACACAGAACCATAGCTACGTCTACGTGTTTATTTTCCCACGGGCCGTGAAGGCAACATAAACTCCTCCTCCGGTAGTCCGAGCGGGAAGTTCAGATGATCGTTTAGCTGAAATGTAGCAAATGTTTCACTGCTGTGGCTGTTTGATTCAACACAATTTACTTCTGAGGGATTTTAACCGGTGAGTTTGTATTAATACACATGAGCTAATTTACAGCGGCACCGAGTCATAGCTAATGTGGTAATAACGAGCAAAGTGGAGCCAGTATTAACTTGACCTGCCGATACAGACTGTACAGTTAGCTTCACTTCATTTTAGCTTTCAATAAACAGGTCACAATCATGACTGATTAAAGTGCGTTTATATGGGTTAGAGCAGCTGATAGTTGTTGCTATTTAGCTACATTAACTGTTCCTATTGTCTGTCTGTTTCAGAGACCACAGCAGAGCTCTGCAACCATGTCCTGCAACACCGAGGAAAGGAGCACCGATGCGTCTAGGTGCTTCGGACAGGTAAGTGGATTATAGGTGTGCATTATAGGTGTGCAAGGAAACGTCATCCTGCTGACTTCTTCAAAGGTTAATTTAAAACTCCTGTCACAGACTAATTAATTCAAATGAGACTCAGGTGTGCAGAGCAAATTAATTAGAAAGGTAAAGCACAGCTGCTCTTGTCTCACCATGTGTTCACGTCCTACCTGTATTAGTGTGTGTGTGTGTGTGTGTGTGTGTGTGTGTGTGTGTGTGTGTGTGTGTGTGTGTGTGTGTGTGTGTGTGTTTCTTTCTGGCCTCAGTCTAAGCTTCTGCCACCCAATCCAAAAATGTGACAATAAGTGAACTGAGACAGAATTAAAGAATCAATGTCTTAAAAGTAAAAAAAAAATGTTTATATAAAGTTCAAACCTTTTATAACAGGTGCATGAATGAAAATGGACTCTGAAACCTTCATCTTGTGAAAGCAGAAGGCAGTGAGGCAGGTTGGGTTGGGAGTTAATCAGAATGACTGAAAAATCATCCATTTGCGATGTTATAGTCTACATCCAGCTTAATGCGGCTTCAAAGCTTATTTATGACAGCTAACAAAATCTCAAAGTGCTATAGAATTTGAAAACAAAACAACGCTGATTGTAATAAAAAAATAAACAGAAATATAATAAGTACAATGTAAATATGTTTTAAATGTAGAATTTTCCTTCTTTTTTCTTTTTTGTGTGTGTGTGTGTGTGTGTGCGTGCGTGCGCGCTGTGTTTTTGGTTCCTAACTGTAATTCCACTGTGATGACAGTGTACCTACACAGCTGAGGAGTACCAGGCGGTGCACAATGCTCTGCGTCAGAGGCTGGGACCAGAGTACATCAGTACCAGAGTAGCTGGAGGAGGACAGAGGGCAAGTCTTTGTTTTTCTCTCCACCAGTCTCTGTGATTGTGTTTCTCTCCAGCTGTGAAGCAAATTTACAAATTTTAGTTCAACTGTAGAAATTAAAGTGTCTAGACAACGGATGGGTTGATGTGAATTTATATGAATCCAAGTCACAAGCAAAATCAGGTGGGAATAAAAACTTTGTTGTGATATGGAGTAAAACCAAAAGCTGCATAAGATCACTTTACTGTAACTCAGCTAGCACCACTGTCTCTCTTGTTTCAACAGGTGTGTTATGTTGAAGGGCATCGTGTCATCAGCCTGGCTAACGAGATGTTTGGCTACAACGGATGGTCTCACTCCATCTCTCAGCAGAATGTCGGTATGACTCATCGAGCTTCTTGTCGCTAGAGGATCGTGTTTTAACGCCAAACTGCTGCCATGCAGCCAGACTAACAGGAGCTGTGTTTGTGCTTTACAGACTTTGTAGACCTCATCAATGGGAAGTTTTATGTCGGAGTCAGTGCGTTTATCAAAGTGCAGCTTAAGGTTAGATCATTGTCATTTTTTTTTTATTGTGATTCCAGCAAAAAATTTCACAACAAAAAATGTCACCAGAAATTTTCTACATCCTTACCCCTCATCACCCTGTGCTGCTCATGTTGTCCACATGAATTTGTGTGTAATACTTACTTTTCCTCCAGGATGGGTCGTTTCATGAGGATGTAGGTTATGGAGTCAGTGAGGGACTGAAGTCTAAAGCTCTGGCACTGGAAAAGGCAAGAAAGGAAGCTGTCACTGATGGCATGAAGAGGGCACTGAAGTACTGCAATTAGAATTTTATACATCTTATTATATGAAGAAAAAAACAAACAATTTTTCTAAAATATATGTGTTATTTTGTTGAGATGCTTTGGCAATGCCCTTGGAAACTGCATCCTGGATAAAGAATACCTCTTAGCCATAAACAAGATCCCCAAACAGGTCAGATACAGTATACAAACTTTTAGCATGTAATGGTCTTATTTTCATTTCAGTCTGTGGATGCTGAATCTTATCACTTCTCCTCCTCACAAAGCCTCCTCCTCCTCTCAACCCGACTAAGACCAAGCGCTCTGAGGGGGAACCCTTAGTGGAGAAAGCCCGGCTCTCCAGTCTGGCCCGAGAGGAAAAACTTTTATCTGCAGCTGGTCCTGCCAGGATGCCGCTAGAGCCCAAAGTGGTCGACCAGAACCAGAACTGTTCAGAAGTTCACACTCCTGATGCTGGCCCTGCTCCCGACAGGAAGAGCGAGAACATCGGCTCCATGTGAACACGCCACTTCACACTTCCTCATCTGTTTTGCAACTGTGTATCACCTTCAATCTCAATTCTCCCTGTTCTCTTCTCAGGCCTGCCATGGATTCGTTGGACATTGTCGGGTCTGAACTGCACACAGATCCCAAACAACTGAGGAAGCTCCGACAGCAGCAGCTGCAGCAGAAGTTCAGGAAAGAGATGGAGGCCAAGAAGCTGCAGCAGAAACAGGATCAAGCCAAGTCTGAGGACACAGAGGTCGCTATTGGACAAGGATCCAGTGGAGGTAAAATAAAATAATTCAGAGTGACTTAATTTTGACATTATGTGCCCCACAGTAAATCAGAGGGCTGGTTTACTGATCTTTCAAACTCTGAGGCAATTCAACATGTTAGAATGACAAAAAGCACAATAAAAAATGAATAAATTAGATGAGAAAATAAATTAGCATAGAATAAAATTGATGTAATGAAAAATGAAACAAAATACAAATAGAAAACAATTATAATTGTTAACAGCTGCAGTACAGTAACAAGTTGTCTTTTGCTGTCCTTAATGCAAGAAAGAAGTACAGAAGAGAAATTAATTGATCAAAGCTCTGATTTCGCAGCCTTTCCAGAAAATAAAATAATTACTGTGTTGTGGGCCAGATTAGGTTCCAGGGCCCATAGGTTGAGACCCCTAGTTTAGAGTCTCAATATTTATGGGAGTATACATTTTCGCTGATGTTTGTGTTTTCTATGAAAATGTTTGTTCCCCAGGTCATGAAGGTGTGAGCAACGGACGCCGGACGCCCAGCAGCAGGGATCAGTATTTAGCAGGTGCTGTAAACTACCACCAGACGGTGTACAGACGGTGTGTTGAGGAAACCTGCCTGTCTTCAGCTTTCAGCACCCGGCCTCGCTCAGTTCTGCTTCGTCTTCCTATGCAGATGATCCTGAGATGTGGGATTTCACTCTAGATGGGATTGAGGAGCTGGATGTGACAGGTGGGCCGTCGTCCAGAGGGCTCAAGCCCAGCACGCCTGGGAATCATAAGATGCAGACGCGCAGTAAGACCCCCCAAAGACCCCCAGGAAGACCTCCAGACGAGGCCCAGTTGTACAGCAGAGGACAGGACAGGAATCAGTACATACCTCAACACCAGAACCAGGATCATGGTAGACCAGGTGACGTTTTGTGAACAGTTGCTCATTTGTTCATGAGTTGTTGGCTGAATTTTGTAGCATGTCATTTATTTCTACTTTTTCAATCTTACAGGCGAAGCCTTCAGTCCGTACAGACAAGGACAGTACATGAAGAAATGCAGACTGGACACCTGAGTATTTGTCAACGCTTTCTAGAATCCATGATTTTATTTTTGTGTTTATATTCACTTTAGTGTGTATACATTTATTAAGTTCATTTTGCAATGAATTGGTGCTATGTCTGTGATGTTGAGAAATGTTACCTGGGTTTGTAAAAAATAAAAATAAAAAATCTTACCACTGAAGTCAGTCAGCTGTAGTTTTAGTTTCTGTCTAAAAACAGTGATCTGATCTGTCTAATCAGGCTGCAGTGGTGATCAAACCTTTTGATCATTCTTCTCAAAAAAGGATTTCTTGCACTGTCCTTTTGTAAACGATATGTCAGAGAGAAGTATTAAGGACTTGACACCAAGTTTTCAGGACCTTTAAATAAAATTTGATGAATCAACTTTTCTTTTTTTCAGACTATCAACAAAAAACAAAAAAAAAAACCCAGTTCATCCTGGATAATCCCCTAGTAACAAACTAGTAAATAAAAAAGGCACAGTCTGGTCATAGCACGTTTTAATTACACCAATAAGCATGACAAGTGCTTTAATTGATATTTTTATTTGTTTTTACATTTTGTACAATGTGAAAAACATACACAAAACAGACACTGAATCACGGGAAGTCTGTAAGGAGGGATCCGAAAGAAGAATAAAACATATTACTGCGTGTCAGTAGCCTCAAACAGTACTGTATGAAGGTCTGTGATAATTACTGATATCATAGTAGCACATGGACCTTAAGCTTTGTTGTGAGCTTGTGCTGTACAGTGGCCAGTTGTCATTTGTAAGATTAAACACCAGTGAAGCCAGCATGCAGAAATCATATGCCAATAGTCTGATATTGAAGTTGTGCCTGTGATACTGGTGAATGACATTAAACAGACAACACTTTGTGATGACTCTCAGGAAGGCAAATAATAATAAAAAAAATTACTAATAATTCCAATATCAAAAACATTGAAGTCAGTAACAACCCTCATCAGCATGCAAATGTTTCCATTACCCCTCAGTCCTTATAAAACTTTAAACATTGCATATTCTGCATTGCAGTAACTTAGTTTTTCTCTAGAGAAGTTTAACTATTCATCCAATCTACGAGCAGGCGAAAGTCACAAAGACAGCATGGCACTCATGTGAGGTGGTGAGACAAAAGCTGAGCCAACATTAGATCGTGACAACTTTTAAACCTTTATACAGCTCACTCGCTGCCTGAACAAGTGCTTCTATGAAATGGTTTAATAATAAATCCACAAAAACAAATGTCAGCGAAAACCAAGTACGCATGAGCCAAATATAAATACACAGCTGATTACACAACCAACACAAATGTAACTGTAGAGAGAAAAGAAACTGTTACTATTACTCAGTGTGCTCTTTGTTCCGCAGTCCTGTGTGTGGTGTCTGGTCCAACATTTCAGAGTGTGATGTCCTCTGAGTTGGCTGTGTCGGGTTGTGTACAGGTTAAGTTAACTGGTTTTCTGCAGTACAGTCATAGCTACAGGACTAGATGGATCTGGAACTTGTCATTAGTGAGGATGCAAGGCACTAAAGTGTTCCTCATGTTTACAGGTTAGAGTGCATGTGCATGTAGAGTGGGTCACCACAAGCATACTCTAGTGACTGAGCGTTACGTGAAAGCATTTACCTCACATTAACATATGTACAATAAAATAGAAAAGGGGGCAGGGCAGTCATAGATAGAAGAGCTTAATAAACCACAGGATTACTCCTGCGTGATGAGAAGGATACCAATAACAACAACCCTGCAATTGCACTTCTTATATTCCTTTAACTACATGTTGTTTAACAACCTTTAATAATAATTACAGTGAAACAACATCAAAATCTGATGGCTGAATACAGGTCCATAAAGAACATTTGTTTGTTTTATTAAATAACGCATACAAAAACAGACCACAGAAAGAGAACCCCAGACACTTGTGATTTGAGACATGACGGCTAAATGTTATGAGTGGAGATATTTAATGTGACATGACTTTGCTAACAACCTGTTCATCTGCGTGCTGAGCACTGTCTGTGTAAACAACTGGGAGAAGTGGGAAAGCTGCGTCTCCTCAGAGTCCGAAACCTTCCACAAATACTACACTAATAAACCAAAACTGTTTAATTTTGTATGAATTGATAAGTAGACTTTGAACTGCTCATATCTCATAGCTAAGCACTAAGTGAAGTGGTTTCATGTGTCAACTTAGGATTCTTAACAAGATTTCATTCTTGTGTAAAATCAAGAAAAGAAAATAATTTATCACCCTGCAAACACCCTCTACAGATTGTGATCTACAGCAGCATCACCTCCTCAGTTTCACTTAAACTCCGAATGGCGGTCAACACCACGACAATGCTTTTTTATGTGGCAGATCCACTGGCTTACATGTCAGACGTGAAGAATAAATCAGTATGACAATAAAGCTATATGATAGAGACAACTGAAATCACAATGACACCAGACTCTCACAGGGACATAAATATGCTAAACATGGAATCATAACTCAGTGAAGAAATATCTATATACAAAGTCAATGTTTAAATGTGTTTGGGGATTAAGGCCACAGTTACAAGGGACAGTTTATCTACTCTTTGCCATTATTGCATTTTACTTAATAGGTAGCAATTGGGATGTATTCATGTTCCAACCCTATCCATTACACTCCAGCCTAACTTACTATGTCTTTCTTCCTTTCTCCACCAGTCACACTTACAGCTCCATCTGGAACAAACTGTACCACTCTTATCTTCCACTTTCTGTACACTCACATTCTCCCTCGCTCTGATACAACAGAACCTACCATCCCAAGTCACTCAACCAGGTCAATGTTTAGTCAGGTGTGTGCACATGTGTGTGTGTTGTGGTATATTAGTTCAATTCTCTTGTGCCAGTTTGGCTTAAAGTTAGGACCAATAAGGATGTCAACCAGAATCTCTCCTACCTTCTCCTCTTCAAAGGAATCACAACATTACAATGTCTGCTCTCAAAAGACTTCTTTGGCTGCTGTTGGTTGTGCATTTGGGGCGTTACATCACCAGACACAACCAACATGCTCTTCACAGCTCTATTCCACAGCTAATGGCAGGCTAAATGTGAGACTCTTGTGCTGTGGATGTGTATTGCACTCTCCCTCCAATTGCCAGGCAGATTTCGTTCTGCCTGAGAGGACACAGATCAACTCATAACACATAATGATAAAAGTTGAAATAAAAATAAAAAGCACAATACCCAGCCAGCTAACCCGCAAACTGCAAAGAAGGCTAGTGTTTCTCGATCAACGACTGTCTACCCTCTCTGCCATGTGGTCTCAGCCTGGACCAGGGCTCTGACTGGGCTACGTGGGTCTCAGGTTGGACCCTCCAGGGCTGACTGATTTCTGGGAGGCTGGTGTGGTTCCCATGTGGTAGCCTTGATGTATGGAGACTGGAGCTGTTGTTGGTGGCTGGTACTGTGTTAGTGGCTGTGCAGGGTTAAGCATGCTGACCTGGCATGTGCCTGTGGGTCCTGCCCACTGAGGAGCACTGTACGGCGCAGAGGCATAGCCGAACCCCTGAGCAACTGGGCCCAGAGAGCCTTTACGGGGCCCTAAAGGGACAGAGGGATTGGCTGGGTTGGGAAGGTGAGTGGTGGCGGTGGATGTGGTGTTGGAAGGCGTGGGAAGTGTTGGGCAGAGGTAGCCTGGAGCTGAGAATTTACGGCCCATGTTGGCTGGAGGGATTATCTGTTATAGAGAAAAAATAAATAAATCTTACAACTGAATATGCAGCATTTTTACAGACAATAAGTGGTTAGCAAAAACAAAAATATCACACATGATCATATAGTTATAAAATGCTCCAGTCTTTCTTTAAAAGAAAGTACTGAATGCTTACATCATGCCCCAGTGCTGCCTGTGCTCCAGTTTTAGGACCTCTCTTGCATTGGGAGAGGTTGATAGCATCTCTGGCCCAGTTATCCACCAGTTGGTGCAGGTCATCAGTGAATGTGCCTTTGCCCTTCTGGGTGTGGGAGGCAGGAGGAGTGGGTCCAGTCGCCTGTGTCAGGGAAGTAGAATGGTTCTGGCAGTGGCCTGAACCGTTTGTGGAGCTGGTCCCAATTGATCCTGGGAAACGAGGAGAGGTGAGATGTCAACAAGGAAATTAATTTAGGAAATCAATTCATGCAACTCAGTGTGACAAATGTTTGCACATACCTGTGGAGCAACTGCTGAGGCTGGGCATGGATGGAGAGGATCGGAGCTGCTGCAGGGATGACCTGCCAACTGCTTGTGATGCATCTGTTGCTGTTTCTGAGGTCTCTGATGCAGAAGGTGAACTTTGCTTTGGAGGGGACTCTGAACCATGGAGGCTCTGAACCGAGGCTGGCGATCCTGAACACGTGGTCACAGCACAGAATGAGTTTTATATTTAAACATGTACATACTATTTGAACAGCTAGGCTGTTTGGTAAAACATGTACATAAAACACAAACTGCAGTATTGATCTCAAAGTTGATAATAAATCAGTCAAAAAACTGAACAGCCAGTTTAGTGTCCTTACCTGAGTGTATGGGACTGGGTTGTCCACTACTGCGAGCAGATTTGTGGCTTTTGCTTTTAAGCCTACGTCGACCTCCAGCCATGGCCACAGCAGGGGAGAGGACAGATGGAGGAGGATGTTTGCCCATGCGCGTGAACAGAGCCTCTATCTCCTCTTTCTGACGCGTCTGCAAGGCCTGAATCTCCTTCATATGTCTGTGAGCAGGAGAGGAAAGGCACAAAGACAGTCATGTTTAAATACTTCCACTGAGCTGTGAACCAACATTCGTATGGGTAAATAAGGGAATTGTAAAATGGAATTGTAAATATGTAACATACTTTTCTCTCAGACGGCTAATTTCTTTCTGCAAGGCCTCGTCCTCAGTCTCTGAGTCGTCGTCATTGTCACTGCTGTAATGCGTATGTGCATTATGCGGGTCAGAGGTTGAAGATGAGGGCCCATTCTGAATACTGGAGCCATGTGACAGACTGGAGCCTGCTGCTGGAGCTGGGGTCACTGAGGGAAATTTAACACAAGATCATTACTACAATATAATAGGTTTACCAGAGGACTTCATATGATCTAAAAACATACTCTTGACATCCATCTGTGTTCTATGCACAGGATGATGAAAATCTTTGTTTCATGCAAATTTACAGATCAAACCAAAGGATTATCTTCTGATATGATTGAAACTAAAATTATTTTTAAACTCAGTAACTAAATAAGTCTACTGTATTTGCAAAAGCTCTCATTAATAATTCCCAGCCTATACCAACAGGATATATTTAAATTTAACAAATGAGGCACAGGTGTAGATGCCTCCAGACCATAACTT